GGCCGAACGTCAGTTCAGTATTAAAAAAACAACGCTTTTTTATTTATCAATTCATATTTTTCTTTCTTTACACATACTCAAATGAACAATATGGTCCCATGTGAGCCAGGTGTTGATCATGACAAAAAAAACACTACTGTTAAAAGAATATAGGCGAAGTTTTACGCACAAATAAATTGGCTGCGAAGGAATAGTCAGCTGTGTATTGCATACCTCCAGAAGAGCCGAATAAAAAAGCTACCTAGACGAATGTCTCTTCTGATCTGCGCAGTTGTTGAAATTAAAGGGGAACCGTTACGACACGAAAATTCTATTACGTCCGTACTAGCAGTACTCGGTTTAAAATGTAACAGGACGGGTACGCTTTTGTCAATGTCGTAAAATATGCCAACATAGGTCTTATTTAGATATAGTGTTGCTCGAAATGGTTTACCATAATGCATTGAGTAGTTATTAATTATATCCCGATTAAACGATATATAAACATTTTAATAAGCAAATGACCAACGATAAAACATCAAAGTTGAGCATAAATGTAGTTTATAAGACATTTAAGGCATCAGACCAGTTACAAAATCCAACCAAAATAAAACGGCAAACGTGGGACCTCGCTATATAAAAGTATATTTAAGCTTTTGAAACCAGAACTATGTCCGCATAGCAGTATCCAAATAATCTCAAAAGAAAAAAATCTTTAAAACGAACTTGTTTCCTTGTTTGTAAAAGTCAACACATGGATATATAAAATACATCAGATGTTTTATGAAAGTGCAATGCAACAGCTCTCACACCGATGTTTTCTCCAAATTTGACACAGTTACCCTTTAGGTGGAGGCAATATGTTTCCCTGACCTTATCCTGTTATCCCCTTTTTGGGCAAAGGGCATTCATAACAGCTATCAATTTGGGTCGGTTCATTGCTGCTGCTATAAACGTGTTTACGCATTATTTAATTTTAGCCTTGTTAAGCGATATTAAATCTTGGTAAACTACAGACAGTTGCACAGTCTATTATTTGTATAAGGAGATAAGAAAAATGTTTTGCAACAAGGCAAGACATTTTAAGTTGGTCCTGACGTGCAAAGCTGACGTAGGTGAATGATTTAAGTACTTGTGTTTTTATTGACGACTCGCAAAATAAATCGTGTCATTCCGCAGTAAATCATGCGCCTTATTCAAAATCATATAAGACTCGCCTGCTAGGCAGCCGAAAGAAAGAATAGAACAGTATCGCATAAATCAGATAATACACTTTTTTCTATCAATTTATCAATTACAAAAATGATTATATATCAATTATTACCCCGTTAATTAAATCGTTAAGAAAACTATTTGTATAAATATTAAAATGTTATGACAATTGGATATGACAAATTCATTAATGAAATCTAAATAAACATATCTTTGTTTTAAGATACATTGTTTTGTCTTTTACCGATTTCAAGATGCCCAAAAACAAAATGAGTTAACAAGTACAATTTCACATTTTAGATAACCTTACATAAACATGTATATTCTACTTTTCTTTTATAAAATGTTCATAAAAAACAACTATTTTCAAGAAAACAATCCAAATAGCATAGGACATGTTTGCAATCCAGGGACGCCAAAGGTTAAATATTGTGGCAGACGCTCAACAGTAACGGGTAACGGACTTGTTTTCATTGATTAAACGAAGTATTATGTAGATGATAAATGTCGATATTGCTTTTTATGCATTTTGTTTAATTAGATAAATGATGTGTATTATTTATTTTAAATACATATTGTTCGTTGATATCAATTTAAGATTTATTACAAGTAGGCGTGCAATTATAAGGGATTTTGGCGTCCGTCCCGAAGTGCGACGCCCTTTATGGAATGCATTCAGATTGTGTGACAGGACAATCGTAACTTTTCGGCTGTTTCCGTCAGTTTTAGTCGAGGACGTTCCGATTGATTAAAGGGCAGTGATTGTTTATTGATTTTTAAAAACTAATATGTCATTCGTGTCGCTCTATGGTTATAAATAACGAAGTGGAGAATTTTGCAGGAAATATATTGCAAACTAATCAAGGAACTGATTCCACTTCTGACAATTTTTTAACCATGAAAATTTAAATCGACCCTTATTTCCCGACTTTTTTTCTGTAACCAGTTATTTCTACTTTGTTTCAAAGGTGGTTTTAGTGGAATGTTGATTTGCCGTATTCTGTGACATTTTAACAACAGAAACTTTAAAAAAAATCAAAAATGTAGTAGATTGATCTCCCAATAAATCAATTATCAATAGCTCTATAATTATTACAAATGTCAAATAGCTTTTAAATGAACATGATGTTGGTGAATTAATGAATATAATTTGGTAATTAAAATTAAGGTAACAGTCTTTAATTATATTGATAAATATGTTTCACCATATCAACATGTCATGCAAATTTATTCATGGTTTTTTTATGTACGATTATTTTTGTTAACGCTTTTAAAAAAAATCATCCCAAAGTTTTCATTCTAGTGTACGTTCCCTTTTTAATATGGGACTTAAAATATAACTACATGTACTGTATCTTAAGTCCCAGGTATGAATAATAACCATTTTTCAATTTGAAATGCATGTAATATTTCTATATTAGTCCTTTCTTTACTATTTTTATATTCTGTTTATATAGTTGTTACATTTATAAAAATAACCCCCCCATTCATTTTTACAACTGTTTTGCATGTTCCAAAGAAAATACAATAATTAATAGTCTAATCTCTAGCAAGCCAACCAAAAATCATGATGAACCAAGTCTTACGTCCATCGATTCATCTTTGCTATAAAACTCTGGTAAAATCCTATTAACCAATATCTGGTAATCAGGCATGCTCGTTGACTGGCTCATTTTTTTGGGGTTTACTTATTGTGACGACAGGGAAGGAGATAAGATAGAAACGTCTATTTAGATGCTGATTCCTTTTTTCTGGGGTTTAATATTTTAACGATAGGGAACGTGTTTTTATTTTGCCTATGAATTAAAAGCAAAAGATCATAAAAAAAGAGAAAAAAACAGAAAAAAAAGAAAACCTCAGCAATCTGTTTTATACTCGGACGCTACGTACTCTCTTACAAATTAGGCCTCGTGTTTCGATGCTCTTTCTATTACCTAATGTATATTCATAAAGACAACATTGAAAAGGAAACTGATCATAAATGAACGATAATAAATATACCAAGAACTCAAATATTTAAAACCTACAAGCCGTGACTAAAGTGTAAATAATATAACTTAATATATAAATAACTTAATAATTCAATTGAACGCTTGTCTGTAGAAATTGTGTTATTAAATTACCTTAATTGCTTTGAATTTGGTGCTATTCGTTTCACTTCAGTTTTTTTCCCGTTATATTTAGTCTCTCTCTTATATTTGTATATACCAACACACTATATCTATAACATAGTTGAAGGATTCCCCAAAGAAACGACATCTTATTAAATTCCGTTGAATCCTAAATCAATATACTCTAAATTGGCTGATAAAGTGCTTATAAAGTGTGTTTATTTTTTATATTAATTGTATCTGGATAAAGTATATCCACATGTCGTATTATCATGAGCAAAGAGATCTGTATGTCTGTCTGTCATTGATTTCAATAAAATACAAAGCATAAGCAAATATGCAGTATAGAGTTTGGCCAGATTGTATGGATGTCTCTATAATGGTGACAAAGGTAATTGATCAGCAGGTAAAGGATTACTACGTTGTTCCGTTAGGGCCATCGCCTATGAAAAAAGTTATTTAAAACGCGAAAACACCGAGGGATAAAAGGCTTGGCCTTGAAATATCTTTCAAACCTGTGTCAAATAAAAACAACAACAACAACAACAGCAAAAACAACAACAAAAAAACACATAAGCTTTGATTTTTATAGGTCTGTGTTGGAAGACGTTTTTACCAAGAAGCCACCTTTCCTACTTATAATACTAACTTGAATCTATATCCATTTACTTGATTCATAACGAAGGTCAATTTCATATTTTTCAAAGTCATGGACAGATAATTCAAAAACGGAGTCGGTGCAATCTTTTACACTTTTCAAGTTTCTGTTATGTTCTTAGATCATGCAAAGTTTAAATGTATTCCATTATACAGTTTTTTTCTGCTATATATCTATATGTATCCAGAAGCATACGCTTTTTAATCAAATTTCTTAAAACTTAAATCAAAGAGTAAAAATAAAATTAATTATTAAATATTAAACACATGACATGTTTAAACACCTTCATGATAATAGTATATCTTTTGTCAATTCAATGTTGTAAAAAATTAACATATACGGACTGAAATAAATGAAACTATAAATAATTGTACTGACATGTACCGGAAGGCGTAACTACGAAAGAACGAAACTGCGAAAACACAAAGGGACGAAGACGCAAACGCGATGACATGATGACGAAAAAGGCGATATGCATTCGTCTTCGTCCTTTCGTGTTTTCCTCATCGTACCTTCGCATGTTCGACTTTCAAATTTCTTTATTCATAGACGATGGCCCTAACGGAACACCGTAAGACATTGCCCTATTTAAGGCAATTTTATAAAAATTCAAGGTATATATTGGAAATAAAAGTACTTGTTTTGTTATGAAAAAAACCAAATGTTACTTTTCACCTTTAACACCAATATCTATGTTCTTCCAACTCTTTCAATCTGATCTTTTTCATCAAACTTTTTTTCTGAAAACTTCATTTAACACGTTATGCTATTTATTGCATTTATTATTACTTTCAAGGCAATTCGTGACTTTTATTACTTCACACGATAAAAATGTGTGCATTGCCAGATACAGGGTAGAGTTGACTTAAGACTAAGTTCTTACTGTTCTCCCTATTCAAATACTACAGGGCAAAATATAAGTTGATAAAACCTTGGAATTTTGCCCATAATTTTTTTATTTACAAATACATTGGGTTATGAAATAGATAAGGTCTTTGCCAATTTACACTCTAATGTTAGCTTTTTTGTGGTTACACCGTTTTCGGAAAACGGTCCAAACCGAAAATAGAAGTAAGTTTTATTGAAACGGGGTTGTGTATCGAATAAAAAGAATCACTCAAGAGTTATTTTCCATAGTGAATATGTAAACAGTGAACGTTGTTTAGGAAGAAATGTCTGACACTTTGGTTGTCGCAGCAATTGACTTTGGAACAACATTTTCAACCTGGGGATTTTCATTTAAACATGAATTTGATCTTGATCCAACAAAGGTCACAGCAAAACAATGGTCTGGATTGGAGTCGACTATATCTTTAAAAGGTAAGTCAATACGCTGTCACGAACAACGGGTTTTTTTTTAAATGTTCATAAAATTATATTAATATAAGTGTGCGCTTCATCTGTTGCATTTTTCGCAGCTTTTTATGTTTCAAAAAACAAACAAACAAACAACAACAACAACATACGGGACCTTTTCTAAAAATTTGCATTTGACAATTTCTCATGATTTGCAATAAAAAATATTCAGTTGACATTTAATTGTTTGAGAACATTTTTTTACAGTTGTGACGAAAAAGTGTCAGGTAAATGTAGAACGTAAAATGAAAAAAAAAAAATCTTTACTCTTAAATGGTATCAGCATTTCCACTTAGGAACGGTAATCCTATCTTCTCAAATCTTCTACGAAAAAGACCATTTATTAAAATTTGGTTGGAATGTTCAAAATACCAATATTTACCATTAAAACACCAAACATGCCTTGAATTGTTAGATCTCATGAGGACAACGAAACGATTTTTTTTGAAAACATATTCGGTTTTCTTGAGTCTGTTCATGATAGAAGCTCAACATAGTTTAAGATGCGTATCATGCTTCACTTTCTTTATAACTACATTTACATAGAGATAGGCCTTATATCTAAGGCAACTGTACACAACATTAAGATATGTCTTAAAATGATTTAAATGCCAAATAATGATGACCATAAGTATTCCAAAACCGTCTGAAATTTAAGACTGTCAAATTTTGTCCTCTGGTCCAAAATGCAAATTGTCATTAATGTCCTTAATTCATATGAACCTGAATAAACATCGAATTTACTTCCCAAGTACTTTTTTGATATATTAATAGAATTTTAAATTTGTGTTTGCTTTTTTTCCATATACGGATGACAATATCAATTAGAATAAATTGTAGATAAAGGATGTGTTTTTTTCCTGATCAATGGGTATTTATTCAACTAAGGTGTATAAGGTATTGTATCTAATATGAAAGAAGTGTAATCTGATCTTATTGAAAATGAAAAATGCATTATGCAGAATTTTGGGTAGGTATGATAAAACTTATTATTAATAAATAATATTTAGTACATGTATTTCTGCTATTTTTATTTTTATCGTTTTTATAATTATTCTCATATTAAGCTCGACTTAATTTACTAAATTTATAACGCAAATTATTTATTACTAACAAACTTGTTAAACAAGGTTATCGCTATCATTAATTGCGTAAATATTTTACAAAGTTTTACCATCGCAATTCAGGCTTAGTTTTAAAATTTAATTGCAGTTAAAAACTTTTTACCTAGGTATTACCAAACCTGATTTCTATGGGGATGTGGTTTAAAAACTTCGTAAGATCATGGGTCATAGTAATGTTCTGTCGTCTTCACTAAAGTAATCAAACGGTTTATTAAAAGAGGTTATGACCCAATTATTTTAAGGCATACCGTATGCTTGGTGATCAACCCTTTTACAATTGGACACTACGTTTTCCTCTTTTAATTACATCTGACGGACTAAGTGGGAGACTCTAAGATGGACAGTTCTTAAAACCCTTCGGGACTGAATTGTCTTTATGCTCGTCTTCTGTCTCGCTTCGTTGGGCCCTTGTAGGTGATTTTCTTGTTGCTCTGCCTTCCTTTAAGGCATCGAGTACTTTGATACTGGTCAGTAGGCTGTACCTTTTTCTATATATTTACACAATCTATTTCGTGCTTTATTAATTTCGTCTAATGTACCCATGACCATTGTTAGAATTTAACTTGGCGGGGATTAATTTTATTTACATTTTCGTGTCATTCAGGAAGATATTGGGGCTAAAAGTGAGGTTTGGCGCGCCTTAAACCGGTTTAAACTCCCCAGTGGTTTAATAACCACTGACCGTTCCAAGGCGGTACCCCTCTATATTCCTTCACGTGTTTTTCATGTCTGTATTGTTACTTGCTTTGGATGTTTACATGTTTTGTGATGTCTGTCTTGTTGGATTGTCGTTGTCGGTAAGTAATTTCTCACCCCCCTTCTCCCATTCCCCCCTTTTCACCCTTACAGCCCTTATCCCTTTAATTCCCATATGCGCCCGTTTTAGTTATATTATTTCACATTACATGTCCCACTCCTTTCACCCTTATGTCCACTCTAGGTTTTTGTTTGGTGCCTTCTGGGTGCCCTATTTGGGAGTTTCGGGGGACTGCGTCCTGTGAACGTTGCCTTTGCCTTGTTGATCTTTATTCTTGTTTTTTTTAAAGCAATAAATAAAATAAAAGTAATAAGAACAATAATAATAATAAAGAGGTATTGTTACAGTCATGTCAGTCTGCGTTCCCTTTGCCGTTGATGTCCTTTATCATACCTTTATAAGTTCTTGGTGTATTGCCTTAATATTTGTTCACAACAACCTTTGAGACAAGACCTTAAAGCAGAGTAGACTAACATTGACCCTCATTGATAAATGAACTTGACTTTAAGGTCAAAAGTCTAAATTTTCCTTCAATTTTGCAATAAGTGGCTATAACTTTTTTCTGTATGGATTTCTGTTTTTAATGTTTCCTAGAGTGCACTTTGTTTTCTAAATATCGAGATGCTTAAGGTAAATGTGAATCAACATGTTTTTTTTAAAAAATAATTTGCACAATCCTGCCAGAATATATACTCGGCAGCAAAAATAATAAAAAGGAACAAGAATGAGTGGACTGTTGATAGATTACGTGGTCATTTACGAGGTAACATTACAGAATGTAAAACGTCTAACAAAGCAAAGAGTGATTGAGTACACGTAGGTAACTTCCGTCAAACGAACATAGGAATAAAGAAAGACGGAGCATTGCCAACGAATGCTTGGAATACATTTTTCTACAATCAAAATCGTTATCCCGAAAACTAAGAACTTGCCATTGGATGTCTAAAGTTGTGTTTGAAAAGACTAGACAACAAACCTGACCTGCTAGAGAAATACAACAATGTTATAAAAAAACAACTGTCAAAAGGTGTTATTGAAAAGGTCCAAGACTCATGAAAAGGCGAGAAATATATGCATCGCTATATTCTTCATCATGTGGTCATCACACCACAAAAGTCAACAACAAATCTTAGGATTGTTGATGCGTCGGCAAAAGTCAGAATCCATGAATCTAAGAGTTTGAATGAGGGTCTTTTACGCAGCCCTGTTTTACTCCAAGATTTGTGTGGTTTACTCATGAAGTTTCGTTTACCTACAGTGGCATTGTACATTGAAAAGGCGTTTCTTCAGATTGATAACGCGATATAAGTAAATACACCACACTCTATTGGATTAAAGATACAAAAGGAATATCGTTTTTTTCAACAAAAAAAATCAACATCAAAATCTATCGTGTCTGAAGGGTATTTTTGGGGATAGTTTCAAGTCCTTTCCCTCTGAATGCAACTATTGAGACTCATTTGAATACATATGGCACAACAATTTTAGAACAGCTGAAACGGAACAGTTATTTTGACAATATTTCAACCAGAGCATCCAGTGATAACAAGCTATAGACATGTATAAAGAAGTAAAAAGCATTTTACGTCTTCGGGAGTGAAGTCCAAGTAGTGAAAAAGTAAACAATCATATTCCAGAAGTTGACAGATCCTCTGAATCTGAATCAAAGTTTTTTTTAACATTTATGGGACATTAAATCAGATATTCACAACGAGTGTGTGTATTTTGCTTACGTAGCCACTAAAGATAATCAAGCTGACGTTGCATATCTCGGTTAGACGGTTAGTGATTTAAAGGATAGTACGTTTTGGTGGAACGGTCCCACTTGGTGTCGTGAAACTCCATAAAACTGGTATACAAATAATGACAATATTATTAAAATGCACTTTAATTAAAAGAAGAAAATGAAAAGGAACCAAGTGTTTCATTGCATGTCGAAGACAAGAGCACCGCTTGGCGGAGCATTATATGCCCAAAAGTGTTTTTTTTAGTTAGGATGAAGCATTTGTAACTTAAGTTATGCTCCGGATAGCAAATTTTTAACGGACGGACGCCTTGAGTATAACATAATATGCCCGAAAGAATTTCGGGCATATAAAAATGAAAGCAAAACAAAAATGGAGAATGTGGCACCTTGTGGAATTGACATTAATATATTTTCAACGTTGACAAAATTATTGCATGTTACAGCTCTTGTGTAGAAACACAAGAATGTGAAAGATGACGCAGAATATCTGGCTTGTGACGACTATCGAGAAGATGAAAATTTGTGGATAGTTTCTGTTCAAAGGAACATTTATAATAAGGACTATAACAATATTCAAAAGAAAAAGCAGTCTGGACTACAAAGTCAGCTCGGACTGGTTATCGACAGCAACTGATTATTGTACTGTACTGGACGTTTAGGCAACTCTTGCCTGTCGGAAGGAGCAAGACTACATATTTTACTACATCAAAAAGAAAAGTTCACTGAAATGGTGATTCAAAGAGGACATAAAGAGAGTATGTACTATGGAATATCACATACGCTTTCCAGAATCTGAGATACTTGTCGGATAATCCACGGTCGTTCAGCGGCCAAAGCAGTATTATTTAAAAGTATTATTTAAAAGTATAGAAATTCGATCCGCTAAAGTGAAACTTCCTTCTAAGAGTCTAATAGGCAGACCTTTTAAATTAATTTATCTTCTTGAATTTGATAATAATCTTAGTTATATAAATGACAAATGGAATAAGAACAGTGAAAAATGTGCAAAGAAACTAGATAATGTATCAAACAGAAAGTTAGCGGAAAAAAAAAAAACAAACAAAAAAAACAACAACAACAAACAAACTAATTTTACTAAACATCATGTAAAGTACAATTATTTAAGTTAAGGTGATACAAACATAGACATATTTCATACAAAGTTCTATGTTTTTTCAGTTTCTCAAACATTAAACACTACATTCTTCCAAAAAGGAGGACATGAAGACAATTAAATACTGGTGCATTCTTTTTCAAACTGATTGGGACAGTGAAACAATATGTATTGAAACACTCAGGAAGAGAGTATGTACATACTACAAAATATTTAAGCATTTTCTTTTTGCGTATTGTAGTGACTTTATGTAATTTGTATAATATTTTATTTTATATATTGCAATTGTTAGACACTTTTGTGTAAATCCATATACTTTTTCATTGCGTTTTTCTAATTATATATAAATAAGCTTTAGTTAATCAATTCTATATAACTTACAGATACTATTATTATATTAAACAATGATGTGAGCTCAATGTTTTAGCTAACATAGCGATTATTTAATGCATACTCTGTACAATTTAATGATGTGTTTTTGAATATGCTTCTTTTGTCTTAATTGTATTTTAATACGCCGTTTTGCTCCTTTGGTTTGCACGCCAATATCTTATGATATTACTTTAATCCTGATAACTTTCTCGCCATTTAATTCCCGCCACAAATATATTTACGTGTTTTTCATGACATCATGGTTTAAACTGAGACGGCACAGAAGGGTAGATATGAGAAGGATTTTGCTGTGAAGTGTATTTAGTTGGAAAAATGATTGTGTACGGAAAAGAAAAGTTTTGGATTGTAAAAGTTAAATTAAAAGGTGTTTAAAATTGGATGTTAAATTGGATATTAAAAGTAGAAAGGAGAAAGTGTTCTCTTAATTTCATTGTGTTTACAAGTATCTTCATGTCTATCAAACTCAAATTAACCTTGACTCATGTGTGACCTTGACCTGGAAAGTCAACTTATTTAATTGTCACCGATTATTGCTATAATTGGGTGTTACTTGGCAATTAATCAATGAAGTATCTTCATACTTGGACGAAACAACATTTTGGACAAGACCTTCGTAAAGGTTGAACTGACCCTAATCTTGACCAACAGACATGTCGAGCGTGTTGCTATATTCGCCGTTCTAATGAATTGTGATACAGTATTTTGTGTCAGAGCAATGGTTTTTTAGGCTATTATAGACTGACTTTAATTAAACTGTCATCTTCTTACTTCTATTCATTTGCAGAAATAAAAAAAATTAACAGTTAATTGTCACGGTACAAGTTATTGTAGTTTATAGGTGTGTCTTCGAGCAACATAAATAGGGTTTGTATTAAAGTAAAAGAAAGTAGATAATCTTGTTCATGAATTTATTGGTTTTTGTGTACAGTTTGTATACATGTATTTTTATTAATGTTGTTACGTAATTACACATTAGTTTGTAAAATTACAAATATCTTTTATCATCATTGGTTTTGAACATATCAATGAATGATTTGCAAACATTGTAAGTTGTACACTATAGATTCAATAATCATACACATCTACAAATGTATATTAAATGAGATCATACGAGTGTGGGTCAATATTCAATATGTAATGCAATATGAATTATATTTTCTAATCTAGCTCGTGATTCTTGTGTTTGGGTAAACTATGATATGCTTTAAAGTATCTGCTTTCAAATGAAATCATGTGCGTAGTCAACCGATTATGAATTTATTCACAATTAAAAAAATACCTTACACGAGTTAACGCTCAGTTAAAAGTGCTGAAATAAGGGCTAACATAAAAGCTCGAGCAAAATTAGGGAATCAGGCTATAAATGTTTAAAATGATATTGCAATATTTATGGCAACAATGAAATGGAACAATGAAACCGTTTCGAGGCGTATGCATACAATATAAAACGGGTACGAGTCAATTAAAGAACGCTCCATTTCTGTAAGAGGAGATTATTTCGAAGACTTAAAATAAAAATTGTAAACTGTTTGCTCATTTGTTAAATTCATTGACCATTTTGCATTACATATTGACCCATCCTCGAACATATGTATTACGAATATAATTGCAATATTTATTGAAATTACCGTCTGCAATTCAGACGTTGAGTTGCCAATCTTAATCTGATTTCAAAGGTTTGCATTAACTTTTCAAAATGGATATCAATATACATGTATTCAAATATAAGATATTGACACACCCTTTATGCCGTTTTAAAACAAACTTTCTAAGTTAAAGTTAAATTCGAATTTCAATTAAATGTTCATTGTTCAATTTAAGGACCAACAACAATTTTGATTAATCCTGACGGGAAAACGATTGATAGTTTTGGTTTTGATGCTGAAACGAAGTATGCCGAACTTGCAGAAGAGAATCAGCATAAACAATGGTATTTCTTCAAGAGATTCAAAATGCAGCTGTTTGACAAAATTGTAAGATTAAAATATTTTCATCAAGGTATACTTTTATTGTGCCCCCACGTTAGTGGCGGGCATTTAGATTTACCCTTGTCCGTCCGTCTGTCCGTCTGTCCGTCCGTCCTTCCGTCCGTCCTTCCGTCCGTCCGTTCACTTTTGTGTCGCACGTAACTCAAAAAGTATTTGACCTAGAGTCATGAAACTTTACAGGAATGTTAATCAGCATGTGTAGTTGTGCACCTGGGTATTTTCGTCTCGATATTTTTAGTATTTTCAGAGTTATTGCCCTTGACTTAGTAAAATTTTGCAATTTTCAACTTGTGTCGCACGTAACTCAAAAAGTATTTGACCTAGAGTCATGAAACTTTACAGGAATGTTGATCAGCATGTGTAGTTGTGCACCTGGGTATTTTCGTCTGGATATTTTTAGTATTTTCAGAGTTATTGCCCTTGACTTAGTAAAATTTTGCAATTTTCAACTTGTGTCGCACGTAACTCAAAATTTATTTGACCTAGAGTCATGAAACTTTACAGAAATGTTGATCAGCATGTGTAGTTGTGCACCTGGGTATTTTCGTCTGGATATTTTTAGTATTTTTAGAGTTATTGCCCTTGAGTTAGTAAAATTTGGCAATTTTCTACATGTGTCGCACGTAACTCAAAAAGTATTTGACCTAGAGTCATGAAACTTTACAGGAATAGCGATCAGCATGTGTAGTTGTGCACCTGGCTATTTTCGTCTGGATATTATTAGTATTTTCAGAGTTATTGCGCTTGAGTTAGTAAAATTTGGCAATTTTCAACATGTGTCGCACGTAACTCAAAAAGTATTTGACCTAGAGTCATGTAACTTTACAGGAATATTGATCAGCATGTGCAGTTGTGTACCAGGTATTTTCGTCTGGATTTATTTAGTATTTTTAGAGTTATTGCCCTTCACTTAGAATTTTTTTGCAATTTTCAACTTAAGTCGCAAGTTTCTCAAAAAGGGTTTGACATAGTCATTAAACCTTATGGGCAGGTTGCTCAGCATATTTTAGATTTGCACCTGGGGTTTCACTTGTGGATTTATCCAGTATTTGTAGAGTTATTTCCCTTGACTTAGTAAAAAGATTGACAGAACAGTGGCGCGGTGGGGGCACCCGTGTCCTATGGACACATTTCTAGTCCTTAATGGTTTAATTATGACAATGTCAATGATATAACATTGAATCTCGGAATAGTTTTCATTTGAATTTAGCGTTTTTCTATATTCTTCTCGTCGATCAAGGAAACTTGGAAAGATATTAATCAGCTTCACTTACATCTCGATATCTTTTACTGTTCGATGACAAACTTCGTTCTTCATTTTTAGCCTTGAATAAAAAATTCATGTATAATCGTTATTGTATTTTATTTTATTAGGTATAAACAACAAATATGCCAGTACCTGATAAATAACAATTAGGATCACAATTAATTTGACAAAATAAAAACAATATGCCCTATATTCAAATCGCATATATTTGGTTTATTAAGGGACTTCAAAGAGATTTTACTATTGAAGATGCCACTGGTAAATCTCTGAAAGCAAGAACGGTGTTTTCCCTATCTATAAAATACTTGAAGGATGATCTTATGTACATGACGAAGAGAAAAGTTCTTGACGAACACTTGAGAGAAGATGATATAAAATGGGTTTTGACAGTGCCAGCCATATGGAATGACGTAGCAAAACAGTTCATGCGAGAGCTGCAGAAGATGTACAAAAATTTACGCCTTAAAAAAGATATCTTTTTGTTTTCTATCCTACTACCTATTTTCTCAAAATAGTTCAATGCCAAACAATTTGTTCATACTTGAAACATGGAAGCAGAGTCTGTAAATGAGAATCACATTTTTGTGTTTGACATCTGTTTTTGAACATAAGATGTACACACAGGCATGTGTTTTGCATGAAACTTATTTTTTTTTCAATAAACGTATTTTACCTACCAATCATAACAAAACTTACATGAATCATGGAAAGGGAAACAAAATTATTTTAAGGCTAGCCTTATTATTAATTAAGTAAACTTTTTGAAACCAATGTATTTTATAAAAGAAGAAAGATATCGTTTATATGAATATTAAAATGTCATGTTTTTCTGATAAAGGCAGGAATTGACACTGAAAACTTGACAATTGCACTTGAACCCGAGGCTGCATCATTGTATTGCCGGCATATTCCCACAACAAGAAGTGACAACTCTCTTTCTCAACTAAGACCTGGAAATACATACCTCATTCTAGATGCAGGAGGTACTACTAACTCATTTTATTTAACGACATGGCAGAAACATTTTTAACTCGACGTGTTCGATTCTTTCTTTTCTCTGATAATACTCCTTAGGAAAGGTGGTTTCAAATCAGTCGTAGATAGTGAATGTTTTCTTTTAATTATCTTTTACAATTTTATTCATACACAATCATCGATAAATTAATTTTCAAATTTTACAAATAGTAAGGGTTTATACATTACACCAAGTAAAATATCTTTTCTTTAGCTGTAATACTACTATTTCATTTTTAACGTAGTCAACAAAAGTATAAAGATAAAAAGACACATAAACTAATGAATGAGAAGTGTTTTACTAGATATTTTCAAGAAATTTTATACAAGTCTCAAGGTCATATGGTTGCAACCATGCCAATTTCTCTCCTTATTTTACTTACCTTAAAACAGTTTCGCATTGTCTAAATGTTATCAGTATGGTTGAATCTGTTCGATCTAGCTGTTAATGTAGCATAGGTTGTACTTTCTCCCCTATCTTTGAGTTTAAAACATTATTATAATTCATATGGCGTGGCTGTTTTGAAGGGATGATGTAATTGTTTCCGCTGTTTATTAATAATACTTTTCAATGTTCAACGGAAAACATTTGTTTATTAACAAATCTCGCAGGTAAACAGTATAATCATCAAAAGTTACTATTGTTCTTTATATTTTAGACAGAAACATGTTGAATTTGAATGAATTCGTATTTTCTTTAATATAAGGTGGAACAGTTGACATCACGGTTCACGAAATCACTGAAAGTGGAAATCTGAAAGAAATTTATAAAGCAAATGGTGGTGACTGGGGTGGAACAAAGGTTGACGAAGCATTTGAAGATTTAATTTCTGAAATCACAGGTATTTAAGAGTTACTGTATTTTACTTGTTTAATTTTTGCTGTTACTCTAACGAAGAGTCGTCTTGATTTAATTTTTAAGTCACTCTTTTTATGAGCATGTATTGCCATGTGGTCAAAGCAATGCAACTGCTGGAAATGATACTAATATATATATATATACATCCGTTATACATGTAGCTATGAATTCATACGTATACGTAATGTTCTTTTAAACAGCAAATTTTAGTGTATATATGGTGGCAATATTTACCATTAACTTATTACAAAGAAAATTGTTTCGATATTTCATATTTTTCCAAGTTTATTACTAGTCTGTCCGCTTATCTCAGTAAGTGGAACATCGGATTAGTAAATAAGGGGTCGGTTGTTCGATCCTCGGGCGAGGCATTATTTTTCCGTGACATTTGATCTTGGATATTGTATCTAAAGGTCTTTTGTCTCTTACCGCTGTTTCAGAAATTATGTGTGATAAGTAGTAGGTCACATGCAAATAAATTGATAATAACTAGTAAGATAAACAAAACAAAACAGTGGTTGGGCGAATCGACTGTCGAAATATAACAAACACGGCGTAAAAGTCAGTAAAACGAACAAACAAACTATAAGTGCCGAATTCAGTTCCTACATTTTCTTTTCTTTTGTATCGTTATATCATCTCGTATATGCATCATTCATCATATTTACTTGACTTAATTTTTAAATATTCTTATATAATCAGGCACGGGTGTAATGGAAAAATTCAAAGTGGACTATATGGATGAGTACCTTGATCTGATGAGAGCTTTTGAAGTGAAGAAAAGGGAGACAAAGAAAGGAAAACATGTAGCTTTCAAAATACCCGTGTCACTTATGAACTTGGTTGTAGACATAACCGGCGAAAAACTTCAAAATACAATATCGAAATCTAAGCACGAGAAAAGCATACGGCTATCCGGTGATAAATTGAGGCTTGACCATGACATCATATATGGAGTATTTGAACAATCTATTGGTAGCATAATTGATCACCTAAATAAACTGTTTGAAGATCCTGAAGTGGCAAACTGTGAGTCCATACTTATGGTTGGCGGTTATTCCGAGTCTCCTTTGTTACAAGAAAGTATCAAAGAAAACTTTCCAGACAAGAAAATTATCGTTCCAACAGATGCAGGTTTAGCTGTTCTGAAAGGTGCTGTAATATATGGTCATAATCCAACTTTGATAGCACAAAGAGTTTGTAAGTATACGTATGGGATTGAGACAACACACGAAAAAAAATCTACATGCATACACCCTCAAACAGAAGTACGTTACTGGAACGGAAAGCCCCATTGTGATAAAATGTTCACTACACATGTCCGAACAGGAGATATTGTAAATCTCGGGGAGGAGCTTAGAGAACAAATTTACCATCCAACAGAACCTTATGATACAAGAGTAAGCATCACAATATACTGTACACAGAAACGTTATCCAGACCTTGTGACGGAGACAGACTGCTATAAACTTGGCAATATCGATATTCCAATGCCAGATACAACAGGCGGTTGTGATCGACAAATAGGTGTGTCTTTTCTCTTTGGTGGTACAGAAATTGAGGTCAAGGCCAATGATAAAACGACCGGATCACAGAAACGGATATCAGTATCATTTTGGGGATAACTTCCAATATGCAAAGGAATGCAAGGACTAACGTGGATGAAAAAGGAAATTCTTTATTCTTTTAAACTTAATAGTTAAGATTTTCGAAATGAATTATTAGCATAAAGAAACACATTTAAGAGGCTAAATATTCAAAGATTTTCACTTTAGCTGCTTCTTTGAATCATTTGTTTGAAAACATATTTTTTCATAAAGTGATCAGTTCAAAAAAGATGTAAATTATATTTGCTATAAGATATTTCCTAATGCGAAATGTATCATAGGTGTTTTACATGCACTAGGTAAAACCTTTGACATTCAAATAGAGAAAAACAGAAACCCTAAAGAAAATCCAACACGACAAAAAAGAAAACGTTGCAGGCTCGGTTTGATTGAGCCTGTTCATGGACGGTACTGGAAAGTGCAAGTAACCGGCACCGGCTTAAGCAGAATTCAACATTTAACACAAACATGGTGAAATTTCAAAACCTGTTTTTATATTTCGGGTTAAGATCATCGACAATAAATGTATTCTTATATCTAATCTAAGAATTTATATAATCATTCTGTCTTATTTGAAAAACAGTTTTAATGCCAATTTAATTTAATTTATTTTAATTAGCTATATATATTCATTAGTTAGACATTTCCTGGTAAAAAGGTATTGTAACAGTCATGCCGTCGTTCCCGTTGCCATTGCCGTCCGCAAACTTTGACCTTGGTCAAATATCTGAATTTTCTCGAGTTTTGTTATTAATGTCTATAACTTTGAAGGTCAAATTATTGAAAGTTTCCTTTTTCCTTGGTGTAACTGGCTATAAATTTGTTATTTATTATTGGATTGACTTTATAATAAAATGAGACCTTCATGTATATCAAACTCAAATTGACCTTGACTCATTTATGACTATTGATATGATTGTTTAATGATTTTTGCTTTCCTTGATTGTGACTTGGTAATTAATAAATGGGTTATCTACATATTTGAAAAACAAAACAAAACCTTTTGGTCAGTACCTTGTTGAAAATGTTGAACTGACATTGACCTAGATCTTTAAACAACCTTTACCATCAATGTCAAGTGATCGAATTTGGTCAAATTTTCATTGTTTTGTTATTTATGTATGGATTTTATTTATACGTAGACAAAACAAAAACTTTCTAGCTAACAAAGAAATTGAATAATTCAGATGTCATCTTGGCCGTCAAGTTCAAATTATTGGATTTTGGTTAAATTGTCATGATTTTGTTATTTTTGTACGGTTTCGATTTATACTTGGGCAAAACAAAACTTTCTACCAAACATACCAAATGAATAATTCAGATGCCACACTGACCTTTAATTGACGTTGACAGTGAAGGTCAAATTACTGAAATTCTTTTATTTTAATCTATTGCAATGGAATTTGAACCATGAGCACAGTTTGAGATGCGACCTAGATTTTGACAATGTCACCTCTTTTTTCGACTTAAATATACAGCTATGAAATTTGGACTTTTAGATGTAAAATTAAACTTTGATATCAGCTGACCTAGCTAATTGGACGAAGTCACCTACTTTCTTGTGCTTTGATGTACAGTTATGAAATTTGGACAATGTGCACAGTGACGACCTACTTTTTTCTTTTATTTTGATATACAGCTTTGAAATTTGAACCATGTGCATATAGATAACAAAACAATATGATATTGATTCATACTAGGACAAATCAATAAGTGTGACTAAACCTACCTATTGAAATTAAATAAGGAAAAAAGCATTTTTATTTATTTAATTTTCTTTCCAGAGAATTCTTTAAATCTTTTATGTGTTTGCTTTTAGAAAAAAGTAATAAAGTCGAAGATTAGCCCTCGCCCAGCGATGGCTCTTGTTTATACTTTTAATATAAACACTATTTAATTGTTTTTGTTGAAATTAACCGCTTTTTATATCAGTTTTTATTTATTTTACAAGAATCTGTACTAGGGTGTCGCCATTTAGACGTCTTTTTCATACACTTGCGAGACTGGCGAGACCAAGACTGTGTAATCTCATACACCATTGTATGAGCGGATCCTGAGGTACATAAACATTTGATATAAGTTATATGAATTTGTTTATCTTATAATATTGATCAGATACGCATTAACATACGTATATCTTTTAATTTATTCTACAAAACTGCATTGACAGATATTTTTCACTAGGAAAAGTGGGAGTTTAATCTAAGCATCCTCGTGATTTATCACGGTACCCTTAACGGGCCTTTTGGGCGGAAAACACTTTTATTACACCTTAAATTGTATTGTTAAGTCAGTCTTTTCAATTTGTTGTATTTAATTGCAGATGGCGATAAAGATAACCATAGTTTGTAGATAGAGATTAAAGTTTATAAAGCTAAACATTTATCTGATGCAAAAATTATTATTTGGATTTACATTACAATAATACTTCCAAAATTTTGTATGAAATAAAAAATATGGCAATACATTGCCTTAAAGCGAGTGGTACATGCATAAAGTTATTGCTAAACGTATTCAACCCTACTTCAAATAGCAGAATAGTATTTTGTTCCGGAACGTTTATTCTGTTCACGTACATTATTCATGTGTATTAGATAACAGAGACAGTCTATGTTACAACTTTTCGGGAATTAACCGTATAACAATGGAACCAGTATAATTTTACTAACGATACATTTTATAACAATATTTCATAAGATATAGATTTATACACTTTAAGTCTACCTTCTGATCAGGGGTATATATTCAGCTTTGATGTATATTGTTGTCTATTCCATATTATAAATATATACAGTAATTAGATATGTTTGTTATTAAAAAAAGTAGTAGTATGTAGTATCCACGAGCTTTGCAAAGTTGTGCAAATGTTAACAAAACATTCAGTATGATGTAACAATATAGTATCTTTATAACTATCATCATTTTTTATTTTAAATATCATTATATTAGTATTTTGTAGTAATTCTTAAAATAATTATGTTTTTTTATTCTTGTTATAAGTAATGATTGCTCTGCTGTTTTCGCCGTTCTCTTGAACTGTGATAGGCCGTTTGTTGTGATTTTATAGATTGTAGTGATTTTTAATTTGGTTTGGAAATAAACGTTTTTCTTCTTCTTCTTCTTCTTTTTCATCTTATTGATAAACAGTATATTGACATTGTACAATATAATGTAGTTATTAGGCGTATCTTTTAGAAATAAAGTAATAACATGATTAGGATTTGTATATAATGAAAGTAGTCAATATTGATGTGATGGCATTTGTCATGACAATAACAACTATCATTTATTAATAAGTCAATTTCTGTATTTAAATTATAATTTTTACACTTATTGACTAGAAACGAAAAACCAAGACAACCCTTGGTTTTTGAAAACCATAAGAAATCACATTTTGGTTTAGTAGTCCCTGTGTGAATTCTTTTTAAAGTTCTACAAATTCTAACCGAAATCTGAAATATCAAGTCTTTTAGGGCAATGTGATTTATTTTTAGACCGCATAATAATTTGTGACGATAGCTGGATTCAAATCTTTGATCAAGTAACTAAGGAGCAATCAATTATTTGGAAAACTCCTGCAACACCACCACCAAAAGAAAAGAAGTTAAAGGTGTCGTTAATCTTTACATAAGACGATGTTTACCTTCTTCATGGATAGGAGAGGATTTTTTCTGTCTAATGTCGTACCGCACGATGTGACCGTCAACTCATCTTGTTATCAAAAGATAAAATGCGCATTATTTTTAATTATTTTATAACTACATAATTAATATTAATTTCCTTTATCTTAATCAAATAGCTTTTTCATATTGAATAGCTTTGCAGAAAATGATTCTTTATTGACTTTCCTGGTAACAGTGCCATTGAGTTTTTAGGTTCTTCCCTGGGATCTTGTGAAGAAGAGACCGAATATGGAAATAGAAAATACAAATGTATATGTCTTTTCATCAAGATAATGCGCATGCTCATAGGGTTAGTGATACGAGTATATAAATTACAATACGTTATTATATATAGATTTTAATGTCGACTATGAGAAATTTGACACGATGGTGCGATGGTGAAAACACGATGATACGATGATAAAAACGCGATGGTACGATGATGAAAACGCGATGGTACGATGGTGAAATCGCGATGGCGCGATAGTACGATGTTGAAAACGCGATGGTACGATGATAAAAACGCGATGGTACGATGGTGAAATCGCGATGGCGCGATATAACGATGGTGAAAACGCAATAATACATCGCGTTTTCACCATCGGACCATCGTGTTTTCACCATCGTACCATCGCGTTTTCACCATCGTACCATCGCGTTTTCATCATCGTGCCATCGCGTTTTCACCATGGTGCCATCAAATAGAAAAGGTTCGGGGTTCAATAATGAGAAGACATACATTGTTAATTAAAATATAAAATTGCGCATGACCACCGGAAGACGATGGCAGGATGATGAAAACGCGATGAGCCGATGATGAAAATGCTATGGTACGATGATGAAAGCGCATTGGTACGATGGTGAAAACGCGATGGCACGATTGTGAAAACGCGATGGCACGATGACGAAAACACGATGGCGCGATGGTACGATGGTGAAAACGCGAAGGTACAATGGTGAAATGACGATGGCACGATGGTGAAAACGCGATGTTTTCAGAGTTTTTACTGTACTCGTATAGGTGTCTGAGGAACAGAGGCATCAATTGTGTGACAGACGCCAGGCTTGACTCTTCATTAGGAAATAATGCGTAGATGTCTCTTAGGGACAAAATACCATCCACTAGCACCGGCTCAAGATGAATTTAACATTTAATAACATGAAATGGTAAAGTTTTAATTTTAGAAACATCCGCAGATGTGTGCATACGGCGGTTATCATGGAACGTTAATGTGATACTTTAGTGCCTTTCCACGAAAAGCTGCGTATGGTTCACAGGTAAACGAATGCGTGTTTGAAAAAATGAAGCTTTAAACTAAACTTATGAACAAGTTTTGTAGAACAAAAGCAAGACCGCAACAAACATGCTCTTATTGCTGTAGATAAGTTTTGCTTATTTAATATATATCTTACTGATAAAAAAGTGAACAAAAGAAAAGCGTATCTGAAAAAGAATTGATACATATTATTGAAACAGGTATAAGTCATATTTTACCGATTTTTCACACATTCTCGCAAATTTGTACATATAAACTGCTTACATTTCTGTATACGTTAAATATTAATGAAAATAAACCTGGCAGGTCAAAAAAGTAAATTACAATAACAATTATGACGAAAATTGAAACTTTGTTTCTTTGCTTTAAATGAATATTCGCCAGAAATGGTAAATAAATGCCTAAAAATCTGTACTACGCGTAATTTGAAATACATGTCAGATGCTTGAAAAGTGTTTTTTCTCGAATAACACCTCTCCTGCACATATAATTAAAAGAAAATAGGAAACTGGAAATAATGACCGAAGTACTTAACGTCGATAAGGATCATAGCTTTAAACACATGTAGGGTTGTATTGTGTATACAGTTGTAAACTTAAGAGAGACGAAGATAAATGTGGACACATTCTGGTTATAAAGTTACGTTAAATGACTAACGGGTCATTTGACACTTAAGTTAAGAAATGAACATAATCAAGTAAAGGTCGGGTAGTAAGTATGTTGAGTTGAGTTAAATGCTGTAAAACAGACATATAAAATGAAAAAAACAAACCCATCTCTTTGTGCTGTTTTCCTATCCACCGCCGTCTACTTTGTACTCAGCTATTTTAATATACATGTAACAACAATACCTTTAATAAAAATATCTTAGGGTCACGTATTCGTTGCCTGCTATGCCAAGTTTTCCATGTATGTACGTGTTTATGTCTTGTCTCTGAAGAATTATGTTTTATTGTCCATGTCCTTTATTGTTTCCTGTAGTTCTTACTTTATTTCTTACACTCATTACCCATATCCAAAAGACGTCATTTTTATATCATAGTTTAAGTAATAGAAAGAGCACCGAAACACGAGGCTATTTGATTTGTACGAGGGGGCGTAGCCCCCGAGTATAGATCAGATTGCCGAGTGTTTTGGTGTTCTTTCACTTTTGTATCATAGTCAAACATGACAGCACGTTCCCTGTTGTCACAATATGAAACCCCAGAAAAAATTAACCAATGAAAGAGCATTTGAATACGATATTTCTGCCCCTTTCCCTTTCTCTGCCGTCACAATAAGTAAACCCCAGCAAAAATGAACCAATCAACGGGCATTATCTGGAGTGCGGGTAACTGATACCTGCACTACATTTACCGCACTGTGCATGTATATGTATACGATTTAACTCTGACACTTTTTCAACAGAAAGGTCCCCAGACTATGATACAAGTATCTTTTCTTGCTACTTTTTCAATTTACCCACTTATCTGCACAACACATGCACACTTGAATTGAAAAATTGATGTCGCAGGCCATGGCTTTGTTAAACTGAAGGATAAATATTTTGACTAGCGCTTACTTGTCTTTTTCAAATCCCTTTAACTCACAGCAGAGTCAACGAGCCCTTTAGGGATACAAATGACTGTGTAATCGGGTGGAAAACTCAGTCGGTAAAACCACGAACGGTATTCTGAGGGTCCCGTGTTAAAATGAATCAGAGTGCACATTTTTCACTGCATTTCACAAAACTCGATTTGTTTGTTAAAGTTTTATACAAACAGTGTGTTTTCCGGGGTCATTTTGTACAAAGTTGCGCCGGTTTTTTAACCAAACTTTGCCAAAAGGGGCGTTCTATCGTCAAACTGTACATAAGAATTGTACTGTGTACGTGTAAGAAGAAGCTGTAAGATGTAAGAGTACATATGTGGCATCTAGTCAGTCTCAATAGGTTGGTATAAAACTTTTCCATGATAGCAAAATGTGAACTAGAAGCATGATGTATCTATCGTTATGTATTAAGCATCTAGCATTGCCTAATGGTTACCCTCGTTATTTATAAAAAAATATCTTGGGACCTCGAATAACACGAGGCTTATGGTCACTTCGTAAATTAACTTAAATTGAAAAGTGATATTTCGAACATCCAAAGTCATATATTTGCTTGTAGATTCGTGTATTTGATGATATATATATTTATGTATCAATACACTTGCTTCCTTAATTGACCTGTCCTGTGGTAGCAATTGGAACAAAGACTTATATCACAATGCGCTTAAGCAAATACTTCCAATATATATGCCTACTTTTACTTTTAATGCGCAAAAATGTGAATAGTGGCAACGGTTACGTCATGCTTTACTTTATTTACTGAAAATTAGGAAAATTAACCTTGTACCCTTTTTATTATTAGTCGCCGCGAGCACGCGGCGTCTTGTGGATATGCATTTGTTCAATGGGGAAAATTTTAGACTTGATTTTGTGCGTTTTTTTTTTGTTTTAACAAAATCACTTTGTTTTAAAAAATTTATAATTAAAATAGCTTTTCTGATGTACAACATGTCACAGAACTTAAAGGGATTAGAATAAATGTTTAACTGAAGTGATAGTGCCATGTTTGAATATCATATTCTTTTTATCACATTATCTAATTTTATCAACATAATAAATAACGTGCCAATTAGCAAGTCTATAGTCGATAGTTCTAAAACTTAACCTTTGAGAGAGGTAACCACTGAGGCAGTGTCATTTACTTCATTTGCCCCGCCTCTGTTGAAGATCGGCTCCGCCTTAAACTGTCGCCACATTTAATATGATGCACCGTTTACTAGCATTTAGTCTTCGTTGACGAGGCGGAAGGAAATCAGGACAACTTTGATTAAAATATCACTTGTCGAATCATTAAATTACAAGTTACAAAGCCTAAACCACGCCCACGTCCACTATCAGAGAGCTGGTTCTCCCTCAACCGTTAAGAAAGTATGCCAAACTCTGCGCACCGGGTACGCTACGGCCTGTAAGGGGAAATCACTGCAGAATAGTTCGTCCTCAATAATTATTCGAACATTATGCAATCCGCACCAATATTTAAATGGACATGTTCTCGGCACATTGTCTTGAATTTATTTTAAGTATGCCAATCATTTCAATTTTACTTATTTATTTTTATCCAATTTATTTTGCTTTGACAAGACGTTTCAATCTTTGTCGCAACAGGCAAACATTTCAGAATTTCAGACATGGCATTACTTTGTGAATGTATGCATTAGGTTCTACTATGCAACTTAATTATTAAAAAATATGGAGAAAAAATTGATTCGTGCTTCGGATATTCAACTGTAATAGAGAACGATTTTCAATACTGATTGACTGTTCATATCATTTGGAGGCGTTTTTGATGTGCAGCATCAACATTTAACTTGTTAACCATCTCTTTTGTAATCTTCCTGTCGTGAAAAATTGATATTGCTCGGTCTAGTCCTGTATCGCACGTGAATTAAATAATCCCCATTTGAATTTCAAATAACCCCCCATTTGAATTATGGTGAATTAATTACGGAATTATGAAAATTATTATATTTCATATTTCCTGCGATATTTTAAACAGATACGAATTAAATGATAAATAATATCAGGATATTTTCTTATGACTGGCTGATAAATAGAGTTATTGATTGGTATATAGTTTTTCAACTTTGAACGACCCTTTTGATTTATATAGTGTGATTTAATGCAATTATCTTATTCAAAGTGATATTGCCTTTAAAAGACCATGTTAATATAAATCTGGAAACAAAGTGATCAAAGAGTAATTTAATGTTTGATTTTATTAAAAGTGAAATTACCTGGACATTCTCTGCATCTAAGTCGTATCAATGATAATAGCTCTTTAGACAACACTTAGTTCTTGCCAAGCATATACGCAACATATTGTTGGAAATCTTTGTGAAAATGACTGATTTTTGTGTGTATTTATTTTCTTTCATCAACGAACAGTACAAATATTAATATTCTCCTATACAGCGCCGTTAACTAATTCATTTATAGTTCTATGTATATTTGTTAAAAAAGGTTAGATTTGTAAAATTTGGATATCAAATGTTTAGGCACGGGAACAAATGACATTTAACTGAGGACATATGTTTTGCTCATAGATGAGTTCAGAATTGTAGAGATCATTTAAGGGGTTGAGTACGCTTAATAGGAACAAAAAGATCCTCATGGGAGAGCCACGTAGAGATACTACAAAGGCACCAAGTATTGCAACGAATAGAAACGAGGCAAATATATAGAACGAAGCAGGGACTAATAAATTAAAGATGGTTGTAAAATTCAAGAAGGTCAGCTTTTTGAAGATAAAAAGAGGGCGGGAGTAATATAAGATGAATGAGGTCGGATCTAAAAGAAAAGGAAATGAACATTTCTGAAAAGTACAATACACTTATCAACTTAAAATTACAAAGCATTTTTGAAAAAAAAAACACCAAAAAACTTATAACCTCATTGCCCCCTTCTGGACCCAAGCATGCAATAAGAAACAACTTTTGACTTACTTTCAAATTATTAAGCACTTGATATTACACCAGTATACGTTTCGCTAAAGAGATAAAACCGTTACTAAATCATCAAATATGTATCATAAATAGAAATTCAGTATTGGATAAAAAGGCTTTCCTACAATATAGCGAGACACATGTGAAGTTAAATAAAGAATATGGAATCCTTAAAAACGTGTCCTTGAACCAAATAAAAACAAAATGCATGATTAATAGTTCTTCAAAACAGGTGAAGAAAAATAATCGTTCCCTACTGAAAGTAAATGATACAACTCTAGAAATGTTACAGTTCAAAAGTTATTGGCCATTTATGTAGATATATCATTTAATTGACGTAATCAAATAGACTATGTTTGCAAAAACTAAGTGCAAAATGCCATCTTCATCTTTAGTTTAAACTAACCTTACTGACGAAGTAAAAACAATTATATTACTACGCGTTCATCCTTCCAGTGCCTGATTATCGTTGTACACTATAGGGTGAGAAACAACACACAAATTATAGTGTATCAATCTTTAAACAATCTGGCACCGTTGTATATGAGTGACATTTGTAGTTTCTCTCACAACTAGTTACATAATTTACGCTCAATCGCTCATAAGGATCTTGTTCTGAAAGCTATACCTCATACAAATTATTTAAAGGATTATTTTTCATATTTCAGTATTTATGTTTTGAACAAATAACCTATCACTATCAAACAATGTTTGAAATCTTTCAAAAACAGCTGTGAAAATTCTTTCCTAATTTTACAATTTGATACATGATGAAAATTGACCACTTTATATTGTAGCTGTTGTAAATGTTGATAATATCATTTTCTAATTTTTATGAGTTTATCTATAATTACTTTGATTAAAAGGAGTGTCAGTCGGATAAATGAATGAAAATAACTAATCTTTGCATTAAAGAATTTGTTTGTTTTTTGTTTGTGTGTACATAAAGATTTCAATTTTGTATAGATTTATTAGTAGTTTTTTCTTTGTTATTTTTAAATCAGAAGGCCGTACTTAATATAATTATACATGCTCTCTTGTTGTGCAAACTTTGTATGTTACCTTCCCTAAAAATAGATCTTATTATTTTTATCATTTGGAAGACCATTCTAATACATGTATTATTTATTTTAAACTTAATTTTGGTTTGTCATAGAGACATTATAGTTTGAAATTCAAAGCAAAAAATGTATGTATAACGATAAAAAACTATAAATAACTTGCCATAAAAACTGAACCCTAATTCATTTTCGTTTGTGTTATCAACTGTTTCTATCTTTCAACCTGACGTTATAACCCGAACATGGTTGAAACCGAAAGAAGTTAAATGTAAAATTGAGTCGTTTAACGACACAGAAACAGATTTAAAAACAGTTTGTTTATAAATATGTAAATATTTAACAAACTTGATGGCAATGTCTACTTCTTTAGTGGTAGCAGCAATCGACTTTGGTACAACTTTTTCAAGTTGGGGATTTTCATTCAAGCACGAGTTTAAGATTGAGCCGACAAAGGTCAAGACAAAAACCTGGACTGGATTAGAGTCGGCCATATCGTTAAAAGGTAAATTAGTAATTAATTTATTGTCGCTAAAGTTTAATTGCTAATTATTCATAGATAATTTACATTACTTTGTTAAAGTTGGCAATCTGGAGTTACAGCTCGAATTCGCTATTCTTGTCATTATATGTTTACATTAAAATTGACAAATAGGGGTGTCGATAATTGTTATTTAAAATCAATAGAATCAAAGTTCAGATTTACTTTTTTCTTTTCTGTAGATCTGATGACGACCGTATATGTTTCACCTTCTTCATAATTCGGATGTCCCGAGAAAGCTATTTTAGCCATGCAATTAACCCGGGTTTTACATAGGCACTAGTAGAAGTATCAAAATACCGTTATCCGTGCAAGTTAAATTTTGTTAGAAATGAAAATGTTTGAAGTAATTTTTAACAAATTTACTTGAAATAATAAAGTCATTTTTTTAACAGGCAAAGATTGTTTTGCCAGTTTACATGTCGGCTTTATGGACAACACCATGTTTGTTCTTGAAATCGTGAAAATTAACTAGTCAGTATTGATTTTCCCAGGGTTAGAATTAGAAACCACATCGCTTTCAAAATTATGAAAGCTCGCCGATGATTGGCTGAGGGAAAGTGCACCATAAATGATTTCGTATTTGGTCGAGGTCAGATCTAAAAGCGGAGCGTTATTTTGAGCCGATTTAATCAGATTGTATATAAAAGCATACTATTTATCTCCTTAATATTTTACCACCTAACCAATCAGTTGTTTAGCACAATAGCGTACTGGTTAAGTGTTCGCTCTGTAAGTGTATGGACCCTTGTTTGAATAGTGGAAAAGGTGTTATTTCTTTTCTTTTGTTTTTAAGTGTTATTTTATTTTTAAAAAACTGGATTATAGTTTCCCGTGTATTTCATTCACACAATGCACAATGCTATTTGGGAACATTTAGTCACACACACACACACACACACACACACACCAACACACACACGCGCGCGCACGCACGCACGCATATATAACATGTTAAGTATAAGACATTACAGTTGCGAAGGTATTAAATGAGCAATGGAAGTAAAAATATATATGGAAATGAGCCAAAATTGTTAAAATTTGGCGAATAGAATTCAGAGTTTCAAACAGAATAAAATTGATAATACTATTAAATCTGTTCAATGACAGTTAATATCAAAGTCATTCAATTTTGTTTAATCGTCATATATTTTACTTTAAATTGTGGAAAGCATTATAAAAGAGAAAATGAAAAGTTACGTGACATACAAACTAAAGTAAAAACGTTAAATTAGAAATGTGCAACATTTCAGACTTGAACTCATAAGCGGAGATCTTCATAAGCTGAACTCTTTAACCACTACCCTACTTGGATGTACGTGTTTCTTTCCAATTTTATTCTTCTATATTAAAATAAAAAAGCAAAATATAATAATTGAAGAACGTAAACAACCCATTATATCAAAAAGGTACGACCGATTTATGTAAACGTTATCAAGTTCGACTAACCGAACAATATCAACAAGGTATGCAATCAACAGATAAATGTTTAGCTAACAATAGATAAATGGTCAAACAGTGATCAACGTACACTTTTCGCACATCAGTTCAAGTATTATAAACGAGTATAAAAAATCTTAATTGAGACTATACAAAATCTCATTTTAACACTAAACGGCTAAATAGTCAGTATAAATCATCCTTTAAAAGAAATTAATAGTCTCGGTCATTCATCAAAATATCATACATTTGAAAACTTCTTTTTACTCAATTGGTAAAAAACACAAATGTATGTGTATGCTGTATGCGTGTAAGTCTAACATTTTGTGTAACTGGTATAATTTCTGTATACCATTGTGTTCATTGATATAATTGGTCATATTCCAAAACACGAACATTTCATGCTACGGACATCTGACCAAGAGGCTACCTATGGGGTATTTGCAAGTAAGAAAAATAATTGCTAAAATATTTAAATTGTACAATTATAGCACAAAAATACATAAGTTTCATTTCTTTGATGGATAACATAATATTTGCAAGGAAAATCGTAAGATTCAATGGGACATCAGGTGATGGAAATATGATGTAAACAAGTACGAGGTATGATCAAAACGTTCTCTGTCCGATATACTGCTAGCCACTACAATGACATTTACACACGATACGTCGATACCGATATCTTATTAAAGATTACTGACCGAGCTACACGCGGATTAGAACAGATTAAGTAACATAAACAAACTTTGATTTCATGGATACACTTGGGAAGGAGTCGTCTTGCTTTAGCATTGTGAAAAAATGGGCTGCTGAATTTAAGAAGGCAGGGAGAGAATTGGATATGATGAGCGGCCTGAGCGACGAAAAGGGGCCACCGACGATGAAAGCTGCCAAAGTTTTGCACGATCTGGTCATGCGCGACAGAAGGCGATACCTGCGAAGCATTGCTAGGGAGGTGCGTATAAGCTTTGGCTCAGTTTAGGCAATTCTGACTGATGTCTATGGCATGTCAAAGGTTTCCGCTAGATGGGTCCCCAGACAGTTGACTGACGACCAGAAACGAACCAGGATTGCCATTTCAAGATATCTTTTGTCTCGCTACTAGCATGAAGTTGATTTTGTCTACCGGATCATAACTCAGGATGAAACATGGGTCCATGACTTCGATCCACAATCTAAGAAAAAGAGCATGCAGTGGAAGCATCCTGGTGCACCACCTCCGAAGAAACTCAAGAGGGTGTCATCAGCAGGAAAGATGATGGCTTCAGGGGATAATCATGATTGACTATCATGAGCAAGATCGTACCATAAACGGTACGTACTATGCAGACGAATTGAAACGTCTGCGTCAAGAAATCGCGCGTAAAAGTAGGATCAAGCTGACTCAATGCGTTCTGCTCTTGCACGACAATGCGCCAGCTCACACATCCCAAGTTGCGATGGCTGCTGCCACTGACTGCGGCTTTAAAATTCTTCCCCATCCCACATATTCACCGGACTTGGTTCCCCCTGACTTCTTTCTGTTTCCGAAACTGAAAACCAAGCTTCTTGGTAGACGTTTTGGAATTAATGAAAGTGTCATTGAGGCGGTCAATAAGTTCTTTGATGACCAAAATAGAGAGTTCTATTCTGAAGGGTTAAACAAGTTGGAGCACAGGTGGGCAAAGTGCATTGATGTAGAGGGCGATTTTATTGAAAAAGTAAGACCTTTAATTGGGTTCTCTGACTACCGGAAGTACATCGGGCCAAGACATTTTTGATCAATCTTTGTATTTAGAAACAAATAATACGAGGGCTGTTGGAAAAGAATTGCTTATTGTCCTCTATCTCGTGATCCACGTGGACCACTATAAAAAAACCAATACATACCTGTATAGACTAATTCAATACCTACCCAACTTTTATAAATGTACATGTTAGACTAAGTGTAAGACATACAATTTGCCATTTAAATACACGCAATCATTGACCACTGTAGTAAAAATGGTTGGTAGAAACGTCGACAAAAAAGATGAAATACGGGCTTACATCAAAGCTCGCTCAAAATTTGGTTGCTCTTTGAAGCAGTTGATGACTGAACTCTCTACTGCTTATGGGCCATCTTGTGTGTCTTATGACACAGTTAGGCAATGGAAAAAGAAATTTGAGTCTGGTGTAGAGTGCATCAAAAATGCACAAAAATCAAGTAGGCCAAAATCTGCATCTCGTAACGAAATCGTTTCCAAAATAAAGGATATCATTGAAGGAGACGCCAGATTTACAGTTCGTGATATTGCACGAAAGGTAGACATATTACTATCAACGGTTCACTTTATTTTGAAGAAGCATTTGAAAGTCAGAAAGATTTCTGCTAGATGGGTGCCACATCTGTTGACCGATGAGCAAAAGAGGCAACGGGTAAAGGTGGCCAAAAAACTGCTTCAAATGTTTCCAAAATATGACAAAACCAGTTTGCCAATGTCGTCACATGTGATGAAACTTGGGTCCATTATTTTGAGCCCGTCAGAAAAGTTAGCAACAAAATCTGGGCCTCTAAAGACAAAGACGTAGTACTTAAGAAACTGAAAAAGTATTATAAGAAACGACGCCTTGTCACTGGTTTTAAGCATATCCGTCTTCTACATGACATTGCCCCCGCTCATACCTTCGCAATAGTTTCGGCGTTTTTGAAAAAAGATAAAGTAACTCTTGTGCCTCACCCCCGTCCGCCTTTATGACTGAAATACTTTTGGGAAAAGGCGTAAAATGATACAAACAAACAAATACACAAATCACCCCCGTATTCTCCTGACCTTGCCCCATGTGCTTACTTTTTGTTTCCGAAATTGAAATTCTTCCGTGCTGGGCGGAAATACAAGTCCCGACAGGCACTTGGATCTGCCATTCATTATGGTCAGAAAGCATTATTGAATTCCCCTTATATTTGCATTTCTAGAAATGGCCTTTGCCCTTTTCTTCTTTACATTGATGAATAATATTTAAATCTGGTCTGTAAATAAGGACTGTTTGTATAACATTGATAATGACATATTTGCACGACATTTAAGTTTTTTCAAGTTATATCTATCTGTAGAAGACAGGATAAAAGGCAGATCTATGTGTCTGTGTTAATTTTGCCAATAAAGTCAGGGACTATATACAATAGTTTTACACTGTTTATATTATAGCAGGTACATATCAGTTGAACAGGTCTTCAAACATATTGACATATTTCTGTTGCGGTGGGGAAAATAAAATTATTTCGGTTTTATTCACATTTGCGAATAAATATACATGCGTATCAATGTATCGTATTGCGTATTTGCTTCCCCTGTATTATCTGCAGTTCCAGTGTACGATGAAATATATGTGAACAAATATGTTACAATGAAAAGTATTATATGATAGATATTTTTAGTTATGAGTTACAATGATACTGTTGAGGTCACATGACGACTTTTCAGCTTTTCTTGTATAAGAAATCCTCAGGTGTCCACCCGGGCATTATTTCAGGCACCTTAATTGAGTAAAAACACCGACTTTGTAAGACACACCGCATGCTTAGTGTTCAACCCATTTACAGTTGGCGCTACGTTTTCTTTCCTCTTTTGATTACATCTGACGGACAAAGTGGGAGACTCTATGATGGACGGTTCTTAAAGCCCTTTGGGACTGAATTGCCTTTATGTTCGTTTTCTGTCTTTCTTCGTTGGCCCCTTGTAGGTGGTCTTCTTGTTGCTCTGTCTTCCTTTGAAATATTGAGTACTTTTGTTATGGTCATTGGGTTTTCTTTAGTATGTATTTACATGATTATTTCGATGTTTTACTTATTTCACCTTTTGTAACCATAACAACTGTTAAAATTTCACTTGGCGGGGATTCATTTTATTTACACTGTCTCGTTTATGGGAACATGGTGGGGCTAAGAGTAAGGTTTGGAGAGTTACACCAGTACTAGACTACCTTCCTCCGCGCTAAACTACCAAAGCATCTCCCGAGGATCGAACCCACGTCACGGAGGTAACTGGATTAGAAGTCATCGGCTCTAACCCCTCGACCGCGGAGGCGGTATGAATAAGCATTGTAATGACAGTGATTTCAATTGATTTGTCATGTATTAGAAAATGTGAAACTTAATAAAAGGGCCTACAACGATTCTTATCAGTCCTGATGGACAAACATTTGATAGTTTTGGTTTTGATGCTGAAACAAAATATGCTGAACTGGCAGAAGAGCAGAAGCATAAAGAATGGTACTTCTTCAAGAGATTTAAGATGCAACTGTATGACAAAATTGTAAGTTAGAGGTATTTGTAACATATGCATTGTTATTATACAAAGGTAAAATAAAACTTTTAGGGCTAGTTAACGTCCTTAACAAATAACTATTTCAATAAAGCCTTTGAGGGATTTGTAACAGTGGCATATAAATATTGTGAGTTGACCTTCACGTCCATATGACATACAACTGACTTACATAGAAATTATGCTTTGGTATTTGAAAAAAAAATCATCTGGTAAGTTTACGTCAAGTGCCCTCAGTATTGTAGATTTAACTTTTGAACAGAGACTTTGTTAACAGTAGCATTATGTTGTAATTTATGGTAACTTTGTTTAAAAGATAATTACGTTTACAAAGATACTTACTACATACCTTATGTTTACAGAATGATTTCTCTAAATATTTCCGTTTCCATATACATACACGTACACGCACATTCTTACGAATAATTTCTGTCTTTAGTAAAGTTGGGGAAATGGATGCTTCCCACACCATAAGATGATCAAAGTAAGGCAATATTTCTGAATCTGTATATTTACAACCTCTTTAGAGGAATAAAATAAATAGAAACGCTTACGGAAGGAATGTATTAAAACGGCAAAATTGAAAAACGTTACAGGATTAGTGTGATATTGTTACCTGTAACTGTATTTAATTATTCTATACAGAATATCCAAAAAGATTTTACAATTGAAGATGCAACAGGTAAATCTCTGATGGCGAAAACAGTGTTTTCATTATCCATAGGATACCTTAAAAATGATCTTATGGGCATGACAAAGAAACAAGTAATTGACCAAAATATATCAGAGGACGATATAAAATGGGTTTTAACAATTCCTGCAATATGGAACGATGTAGCCAAACAATTTATGCGAGAATCTGCGGAAGATGTAAGATTGTCTCTTTTTCTTTTGTTATCATATTATCACCGACTGTTTACACTTCTTGAATAACGCATCTCATAAAGTGATTGGACATTGACGATGTTTATAGTTATCTCTAATATGTCCTTTTTCTTTTGGATCATTATATACCCCTTTAAGTTTTGAAAAAAATATGTAAATTGTATATACATGTATATACAATTGTATACTTAGATCTATAAAATGCTTTAAAAACAAAAATAAATGGAAACCATCAAAGCATAATTTTAAATGTTATAGGATTAATTTTGTTTAGCTTGTTGGTAAATGCAAATTACCGCCCATGGCCTGGCCTTATAATGTTGTATATTTCGAAAGATGAATTTAATTCTTGTAAAATAGACCATATACTATCAGTAAGTGTGTTTATAACTTTTTAAGGCAGGAATAAAAGAGGAGCGTCTCATTATTGCCCTTGAACCGGAAGCTGCATCTATTTATTGCCATTTACTTCCAACAACAAGAAATCAGGATTCACTTGGGCAATTACAAAGCGGGAGTAAATATGTCATACTAGATGCTGGAGGTATATAACCGTTCTTTCAGTATATGACAATGAATTTGTATTGCTTAAGTAAAAGAATATATGTTTTGTTCTGTATAAGATATTTAATTTATTGCCATACAATCGTATTTGAATTCTAAGCATACAGTCTGTAACTACAATTCCAGTATATTTTCAGTTGCTTGTATTTTTCATAATCGTATAGTAAAATTACGAGAGATAACAGCAAAACGTAGATAGTAACGCAGTTTGATCACTGTATCACTTATATGGGTTTTTTATTTAATAATAAACTTCTTAAATTCTAAACATCTATGACACAATCATATATCAGTAATGATTAAATTGAAATGTAACGAGTTATTGTTGACGAAACTTTTACAGGAGGAACAGTTGACATAACAGTTCACGAAACTACACAATCAAAGGAGCTTATAAAGTATACAAAGCTAGCGGAGGAGATTGGGGTCGCACAATGGTTGATAAAGCCTTCGAGGCGTTTATCTCTGAAGTCATGGGTAGTGATTCATTTTTATTATTTCATGAATGGCCACCTATTCTCATAGCCGAAATTATTCAATGTTTTTACCAAACAAAATGAAGAGACATTAAGTTGCACTTGACATGAAATTGTTTATCATAAAATACCTTCCAATATAAAATTGAGTTCAGGTAGTTAATCGTTTCTATGTTACATCCATAACAAATACATTACAATAGGTATATATACAGTACTAATGAAAGTTCTGCATTTCTGATGTTTACAATATTCTATCGTCTATATTACTCATACAAGATAATATTTTGATTGATATTTATAATATATTGATAAGTCTGGCTATTTCATACTCAAACGAAACAGGGGCTGATGTAATGAAATCGTTTAAAGAGGATAATGTAGAAGAGTACATGGATCTGATGAGAGCCTTTGAGATCAAGAAGAGAGAAGCCAAACCAGACAAAAAAGTGGCCATAAGGATACCCGTTTCTCTGACTGATGCAGTAAAGGCAATTAGAGTTACACCCGTACAAACTGTAATAGCTGAGTCCAAGTACAAGGATAGTATACGTTTAACTGGAGACAAACTAAAACTTAATTCAGATGTCATTAATGGTTTCTTCCAAGAATCTCTGAAAAAATTTTCAAATCATTTAACTAACTTACTTCAAAAACCGGAGTTGGATGAATGTGAAACTTTGCTAATGGTTGGTGGTTATTCAGAGTCGCTTTTACTTCAGCAACATATTACGAAAACGTTTCCAAACATGAAAATCGTTGTACCATCAGATGCTGGGCTTGCTGTGTTAAAAGGCGCCGTGATATATGGCCACGATCCTACTGTGATTTCACAAAGAGTTTGTAAGTACACGTATGGGAATGATGGGGTGCATGATTATAACACAAATTGCACACACCCGCCTAGCAGGAGAGCCTTTGAAAACGGCATTGAGCTCTGTTATGATATATTCTTTGTGCATGCTCGTGCTGGGGATGTCATTAAGCTAGGAAAAGAATGCAAAACAAAACAATTTTATCCGCTCGAACCATTACAGAAGAGGATAACATTCGATATATTCTGTACAAAAGAACAAAAGCCAGAGCTAGTTACGGATCCAGGTTGTGTGAAATTGGGAAGCGTTACAATACCAATGCTTGACACAACTGGTGGATGTTCTCGACGCGTTATTGTGAGTTTTCTGTTCGGCGGAACAGACATAGAAGTCAAAGTGAAAGACCCAAGGGAAGGAACAGTGCGTAAAGTGAAAGTTTCGTTTTTGGGATAACTTTAGAGTTCCGTAGCTACTGAAGAGAGTTTTCAACGCTTTGACAGAAAACGTTTTTCAAGATGGGCTTGTTCACACAGTGAATGAACGAATTCACTGTACTATATCTTGCAAGTTAATTAATTGTGTACCATTTTACCGATTATAAGCGCGCGCTACTTGCTACTATAAAAACTCGTTTATCCATTGTGTAATTGCTCGAAATCTATCTAATGCTAAATGGTAAAGTACATTTGGTTATTTGAAATCTTCCGACATTTTCATTACACAATATTTAGGTGTATAGCTAGATATGGAAAAGGTAACCATCATTTGCGATTTTATGGGACACATTAAGCTTTGAAAATGAACATATCGGAAAATATTTGGAATTTGCTGTCGACTTTGTCACTTATGTAATAAAACACGTACTATATTTCTGTATGAAATTTTAAGTAAATATTTGTGCATCAGTTGTTTAAACTTAGCACGGTTCGATCTGTGTATATGTTTAAGACTACGTTTATAGTTGTGGATCCAGGTCAAAAGGATGACAATCAACATAAAGTTAAAAGATAACGGCACACAAGTGAGAATATATCATAAAAATTTTAATTCACATAAATTTACAGCAATTACGAACTGGACATTAAATGTTGCTGTCCGTCTGGTAAAGGTGGGAATGATTTTTGTGCGAATAAGTTTTTTTTTCGGTAAAAAATAGTTCAGCGTTGTCAATGAATAATATTTAGTGGTCTATATCTGCCTTTTTTCCGAACACATCTTTACTATTGTACTTGGTGGTAATTTATTTTCGATAGTTTCAACAACATTTGTAATGAATAAGTAAGCTACAAAGTTTGAGAATAAAATGAAATTAATTTAAAATGAAAAAGAGCAGATAGAGGATGAATGGATGATTATTTTCAAAAGCAAACAACAATTTGACACGCACACGCACGCACACACACACACACAAGCGCACACATTCGCGCGTGCACACACATGCGCGCTTCTGGTCGGGGCAAATCTTACTTTCTTTAATTACTTCATTCAGCAGAAGTTTAATCAACAAAATGATAAAGCCGATACAAAAGCAATACTCCACAGTATTTGGTTGATTCACAGTATCATTGACAAATGGAATAATAATTTGGATTATAAATTATAGTATCGAATGAGATATATTGAAACATTGTTCCAGTCTTTCTTGAATTGGTCAATATATCCACATTTGATTAGCTTTGATTCATTTACATTTAGAACACATTAAATGATATCCATTGTTCACCAAAAGATAGCATAATTTTATGAGTCACAGGAATATGTATTTTGATATTTAAAAAGAAACATAATTATTTACGATTCTATTGTGGTTTTCCATTACTGTATGCAACAACATGTTTTTTTAAAATTTAATATGTTTATGTTTAATCTATATGTCTTTGTTTTGTGTATTCATCTATTTCTGTAAAGAAATTCTCGAAAGACATGTTCTACCTTTTCATTTATTTATGTATTTTATTTTGAACAGTAAATATTTCGTTCCCCTAATCCTTTGAATATGTCTTACTTAGAACCACTGTTTCTGAGTATTCTTTGTCAATTTGTTATTTATATATAAGTGTCGCCAAGTGTTAACAACTTTTACTGTCTAATTAATAGCCATAGAAAATAACGTCAAAGTTAACTGTTACGTAGCAAAATTGCGACGAGCGTATTTTACATAACAGAATAACAGATTGTAAGAGATATAGGAACTTTCAAGGTATTAGTAGTCAGGTTTTTATCATTTTATATTATATCAGTATCCTAATCGTCATCATTAGATAGGATCAAGTTTCCTTTTAAAAGGAAAGGCTTGCTCAGTTGTGCCATCATCCAATCCCTTTAAAAAACATTTTTTGTTTTAATTTATTATTACAATTTTTTTGAATTACTGTATTTGTATATCATAAAGGGTTTATTTAGTTTTTTTCCGAAAAAAAAAGGTTCACTTTTAACGGGATAGGTAGGGTAAGCCCAAGACTGGACGAGCACATGGCCCATTTGTTTGAGCAGCAGTGTTATGCATGCAAATTTGGACAAAAGAAGGGCCAGAAGTCCACTGATTATAACTGAACAGGAACATGCTGACGATAACAGTAACAACTTTTTTTTGTAAAAACGAATATTTTTTTGTCAAAAACGATTTGAAATCTATTCTCTATTGCATAGAACTAATAAAGAAAATAATCAATCGTAAAAATACTAACATTGGCTCTCCCACGTGGAGATCTATCTATCTATCATACTGAAGGGAAACAAGTGTGCACATTTCATTTCCACTTTTTTCGCAGAGAGAGTCATTCGTTTTGGCAGTTGCTAATTTCATTTATATAGCAGCTTTATAGACAAGTAAATGCACTAAAAGACTTCGTTACGTGGTACCAATTAATAAGCATGTATCAACTATGTTACACCTAAAATATCTATGATCACAGATATACCGACAACACAGGATGCGCTATCTGTAGATCAGCACGTGGTAAGGTTAATGATATGCATGGGCTATTTTTAGATTACCTCACCAAGACGTTTAAACTCTACGTTAGAATTGCGTTTAAATAAAAGACTCAGTAGATCTAAATATAACTCGATCATGCACTAATATTCTGTGTGATTCGGTCACGATCTTTTGGTAAGCAGGACCGCCCTTTGGAGACGGAATACTACTACAGTAACCATTCTCTATTGTATAAAAAACTAATAAAGACAAAAACCAATTATAAAAAAAACTAACTTTTGCGTCTTGAAAAAGAATTGAAACGGAACAATTTCGTTTATAATTTATTTCTTCCTTCTACTTACGCTTTAAACCGCTAAATCAAGTAAAAATAGAAATCCTATTTATATAAACAAACTGGGATTACCGATTATGATTATGATTCAATCAAGCAAAAATGACAATTATATGGCAAACTTTAAAATTATCACTATCAATTTACCAAAAAAGTGGTTAAAAATAGCATTTTTTGACAATATGATGACTTTCGTTTTTCCGTTTTTACACAATATAAACAAAAATGCATTTAAAGTGTGTGTACTTTATAAATTTAACATAGCTAGACAAGTTTAGCATAAAAAATCATTTTCTGGGCATTTATGCCGTAAGAGTAGATCTTCAAAAGTGGGTGGGGTAATATTACCGAAAAAATATATTAAATTACAATGTTCCCAAAACTTGCCTTTACTTTATAATTTCAGTTTAATGTATAGGAAATTGTGTTTTAATTGTATGTTCTTTATCATTTGAACATTTTTTATAAATTAAACATAAAAATTCATTACCTGACGCATTTATAACAGACGAGTACAGCTTCAAAAGTGGGTGGGGTAAAATAACCCCCAAGAAAGCGCGTTCAAAATTAATAAACTCCTTTAAATTGCCATTATTTTACAATTTTGATGCAATAATCATATATTAATTGAATTTTGTGGTAAGATATATAAATATGTATTACATTTAAGAGGAAAAGAAACATCATGTCACAGCAGCCTTTAAGATTATCACAATTAACCAAAAATTTAACAGGTAAAAAAACACAGTTTTTGCATTTTGTTGCCTTTTAGTATATCTTTTTGACACAAAGTAGAAGAATTGTCCTACAAATGTTTTAGTTGATTATAGCTGTATTAGTTTGGCATAAAAATCATTACAAAGAATGTATCACAGAGGGATAGAGTTAGAAGTTGGGTCCGACAAAACACTTTCAAAATTTAAGTGTTTATAGAACATGCTTTTTCTTTTTAATGTTTAATTGTCATCTTTTGCCATTTCTGACAATTATTATCAATAAATTATGTTAACGACGTACCTAGCATAGTCATATTTTGGTAAAACACTTTTATTGCAGATATTGTTGTGAAATCTACGTAATTCTTACTGAATATTTTTGAATAACAAAGTTTGAAAAGCTGTACTCCCTATTGTTAGTCAAGTTAATATGGTCCTTACTAAAAACGCCAGTTATAATGAGGTAATGTATTTATACTGTGCTTATCTATAGTGTATGGAGTAAAAACTTATCAAATCTTGTATGTGTGTACTCAAAAAGATGTTTATTTTATGTTTAAAAAAGAGGCTGTATAGCAAAAACAAGTATTTTCAAATTTCAGTATATAAATTCTTTAATCAATTAAGAAAAAAAACATCATTTAAATGTTTTTGTTGTTGTTCTTTTAAGTGACCATTTGACCTGGCAAGCGGGTTTACTGAAATTGACCTACACTTAAGCTCACATAAAATTTCAGCCTTTTATATCTCTTACTGTGTATTTAGTGCGAAGTGGAATTGCTTTTTCTTAAAAGTTACAAGATTGAAGCAGACAATTTTATAACTGCTTTAAAAATCCTAGATTTAAATGATGGTTAATATTTACCTTTGGATTTTGCTGAATTCTTTTTTTGTGTAAAACAGACCAGTGACATGTAAATATCATAATCTAATATCAATTCCCTTTTATTTATCATGATTTCTAAGAAAATATTTTGTTTCCAATAATAGATCTAATGCAAAACCTTTTGAAAGTAAGGTAAATTCAAAATTTGATATCTTTTTAGACACTTTTCTCAGGTTCAATGAACAAGGAAAGTATTTAAAGTATGTTATACATAACAAATGTTATAACAAGTTCTATTTAGTCAAAACACATGTTACAAGGTGAGTAGGTCATAAAAACGCCGTTTTTGAAACCCTTGAAAGGGAGATCCCTCCATCAGAGCAATGACATATACAGACTCGACTTCATTTGGGGCAATGGATCAGTTCTTACACCTTACAAAGCTTGCTATTACTGCCTTGAAAATCAGTTTGCTTGTCCTGTGTAAAACAATTATATGCTACGTTATGTTCCTTAATCATGTATTAAATTTCTGTAGAAAGTTTACCATCCTTATAAAGGTATAACATGTTTACTTAATCAGTTAAACAATTTGCTCTGAATATATAGTGTGATATTTAAAACTTGCATAGTCAAAATGACTAAACAGTATATAATGTAATTATGATTCAATACGAACAAAAACAGCAATGGCATATGCAGCATGTATTGACCTTTAATTGTAAAACAAAAAGAGTTGACAAAGTAAAAACATACAATACAAGGAATCTAGATATTCACTTTTCACTCTCGCATTAAAGCAGCACGCCTTCAGATTTATGCTTATTTTCAGAAAATTTTGAAAATGAAATTAAATGTATAATATGTTATAGCAAACAAAACGAAGCAATTTACACATTATCATTGGCACTTGCAACCAACGTTAATTACAAGAAATCGCCAAAATATGCAAAAAAAAATGCACTTACTGCGTTAGGAACGCAGTAGAAATATAGTTACACATAATAAAAAATTCACCATTAATCGCTCAAAACATGTACATTATTACTTGAATCTTAAATCTTTCTACTTTTTTTTAAAATCTTAGTACATTTTTAACAAATTTGATAAATTGAGATATTTTCGCTTATCTGGAGCCATGCTGCTTTAAATTATCTTTCAACTATGCCATACATATGTGTAGATTATTATAGCAAAATGAACAAATTAGAACAAAAATCTACAGATGACTATGTTAGTGAGGGTGGAAAACAAAAGTTGAGGACAAAAGAGGCATATGTCTTTTAAGAAAGAAAATTAAAATAAAAGTTTCAAAATTTCATGTTTCCAAATTCTACTTGCTTTCAATACATCACCGCATAACAACTCAGCGAACCCAAAGTACAGAAACTAATCAATAAACAAATAAACAAACAAACAAACAAATAATAATAATAACACTTATAATAATAAACGGACTAAAATTCTGATCAAAAGCTTTATTTTTTCACGTATCCACAAAAAGGATATGCTGACAAAAAAGCAAACCGTTTCATTCAACTTCGAAACTGCACATTGCGCTACATTTGTGAAATATTCATAATGATTCCAATTATCATACGGATTAATGTTATGTACAGGACTATATGAATCAAATACCACCAGGTGATCCTTCGACATTTCAAAGCAAATTCTCAAAATTCGGACGGAAATGTCAGGCTAATAAGCTAGGTAACCCAAAAATGTTTTTATAGAGAACAACTTCACGCTTTATTAAAACTGTTAGTAGCTTCAACCGAATATTACAATTATTGTCTTATGTAAACGATCTTAAATGTTTTATCTATAAGATATAGGTACAAAAACATCGACTTGTGTCAGACGATTGATACTGGCGCTCTGTAAATATGCAAGAATATGATAGAAACAATATCAATAATAATTTGACAGATTCTTTACTTCATTTGTCTACGTTATATGTTTGAAAGCAAATATTATTTAATATTATTGCATAGATATGTCCGGAAAAACTAACACTTATATATTGTATTATAAAATATCCCATATATAGAACATTAACAAATCTTTAAAATTCTCCTCCAGATAAAACAAAATAAAACGATGCAACAGTTTAAAATTACAGCAAGATGAACATTACACACAATTAAATAAGATGATTTTCTTCGAATAAGACATGTATTAATCATCTATTTTCATATAAATGAACGAGTGTTTTGATGACATTTTATTTTAAAAACGCTCAAACTACAATGTGTTGGATAGTAGTTTTAAAGGGACGCTACTGATGTTTTTAACAGGACCAGAGATAATTTTTATTTCAGATTTTTGCTCAATTTGATGTAGGTCTAGACTAATAACTTGTGTACAAAATTTTAGATCATTCACTTACCCCGTTTCTTAGAATATTTACTCATATTGTGAAACATGACCCCAAAACTAAAAAGCGTTGCAACGTTTTAATCAAAATTGGCAAAAAATAACACAAAAATCCGATTTTCACAATGTTTCAGAGTACAGTTCTTACTTGTCTTTTGCATATCTTTCTGTTTTAAGTGCCCCCAACTGATTTATGTAACAAATTCAAATTTCATGTTTTTAGGCTTTTGGACCTCAGTGGAGTTCCTTTAAATCAAAAGACGAATTAAAATATTAAGATTTCGTCATCAACATTGAAATGCAACATGAATTAGATATATCAACCTAAGAATGACAGCGATATTTTTCTTTCCGTCCCTGCTGATTTATCATTAACTTTCACCTCTAACTCTGTACCACCGAATCGAAAACTTGCAAACGCTTCACGATCGACACCACCTGTTGTATCTGGCATAAGAAGCCTGACCTCACCCAATTTTACACAGCCTGAATCAGTTACTAATTCAGGCGAGCGATCTTTCGTACAATAAATGCTAAACAACAAAGACGTCTGTGTTTTATGAATCGGTGTATATAACTTTTCTTCTTGCCATTCACCTACTTTGACAATATCTCCAGCACTGACATGGGCGTCAAATATATTCATGCAACGTTCTTCTTCTTCTGCAATAAAAGTTGTAGTTTTACGATGGGTGCATGTACTTTTCTTTTTATGCGTGATAGCAGTTCCGTACGTGAACCTACATATTCTTTCCGCAATTAAAGAAGGGTTGTGACCAAAAATTACCGCTCCCTTTAGAACAGCAAGTCCTGCATCAGCTGGTATTATCACATTCTTCTCTCGGAAACAAGCTCTTATTCTTTCTTGAAGAATGGAAGACTCGGAGTAACCGCCTACCATAAGTATTGCTTGGCATTCTTTCAACTGCGGTAAACGAAAGAGATCCTCCAAATGGTTTACGATGTTTTCCAATGATTCTGTAAAGAATCCTTTCATGATATCAGCATCTAGTCTTATTTTATCACCAGCTAGATCTAGTTGGTCTTTATATTTTGTCTTTTGAATCTTTTCACGGACTGTTATGCCAGTGTGCTCTTTAGTCTGGTCAATCAAAGCTACAGGTATCTTTAAAGATACCTGTCTCTCACTTGTTGCTTTTATCTCTCTCTTCTTAACTTCAAAACATCTCATAAGATCAAGGTAATCTTCCATTGCTTTATTTTTGAAGGAATCCATGACGCCCTCGCCTAGAGAGGATATTAAAAAAGAAAATGAATTTAAATCTGATACAGTGTTGATGGGTTCGTATCGAGTGAGTATTTTGTGTAATATAACATTTTGAGTGTTTATATAAATGTATATACGAGTAAATGCCAAATTTATTCTCGTGAGAATATATCTATTTGATTCAACGGTTATATGAACCTAAAACTGTATACTTTTATTACTGTAATAACTGTTTAACGAATATCATTCTTACCTGTTATTTCAGATAGGAAATTTTCAAATGCTTGGTCAACTTTTGTCCCTCCCCAGTCACCGCCAGTTGCTTGTTTAATTTCTTTGAGGATTCCGTCTGGCATAATCTGATGTGCCGTGACATCAACTGTTCCACCTAAGAGCACAAGGATCATGTGTTTTATTCACTATTAGTTTTACTATTAAATGGTTGTCCATCTATTTGAACTATAATGTGAGGGCTCATTATAATTATTGACTTTTAAAACAATATTTTGATTAATGAGGAAATACCAACTTCTAGAAATGCAAAAAAAAACCTACTGTTTAAGTGAATTATTTACATGCGTGCGTGCACATGCATGAATATGATTTTATTTGACGATTAGATATTTGAAAACAATAAAAAATATACCTCCGACGTCCAGAATGAGGTATTTGCTGCCAGCTGGAAGTTTTCCAAGTGAATTGTGAGATTTAGTGGCCGGGATATGTTGACAATATAAAGATGCAGACTCCGGTTCTAAGGCAATTGTTACATTTTCCGTTTTCAATCCCGCCTATGAGTTAAAAATGATATTTTGTTTTGACAATTTTAGTATTTGTATAGTTCAAATTGAAAGAATTATGTTTCGAAACAAAATGTAGCAGATTTGAAAATAAAATAACAAGCAATGAAAGTCATGTATTTTTTCATGCAAATTTACAACGCTTATTATAATAATATATTAGATTCTTACCAACCTAAATATATAGATATGACATTCAACTTAATTATAGTTATGAAAATGCATTAATTTCTTTAGGACACTGTGGCACCTAATTTCTTTAAATAAGTGCTGAATGCTTTTAATGACTTGCAATTGTTTTCAATGCTTTCGGGAGATCTCCCTTTTTCAAATATTTCATGAATATACATATTAAATAAAAACTAACATTTTTCAGCCGCTTCTCTCATGAATTGCTTTGCAACATCATTCCAAATTGCAGGGGGACTGTCAGCACCCAGTGAATATCTTTTTCTTCCAATGTTTGCATCCTAGCAGCTGTTTTTTAGACATATCCATGAGGTCAATCCTTGAGATGAACGTATAGACAAACTGAATCCACCGTTTTTGCTTGTAGGGGTTTCCCAGTGGCATCTTCTATAGTAAAATTTCGGCTAAGACCCTATTAGAAATTTATGAAATTAGATAGGTTATGTTATAGTGTTATGTCATGTATATATATATAATGTAATAATGTTAAAAATATAATGTTTATGACTTTCGTTTTGAAAGTATATTGTTATTATATGATAGAAATGTGCAGTGGTAAGAAAATAAAAGATGACATTCACACTTTATTCAAGCAGGCAAAATGTTTGCGGTCATGTCGCATGGGTTTAACTTTTGCCCAGATGAGTGGATTTTTTTTACATTTTTGCAAACATTTATAAAATATGTGTGATCTTGATTTATTAACTTCAGAAGATGCAGATTTTAACGCCTAGTATATAAAAATACAACACGATAAGAATTTGTCACAGGACACATCATGATGTTACAACATCTTCAGTTAAAACATTTAATAAATTGGGCGAATTTGAAAGAAGGTGTCACTGACTAACTTTATTTGGCTTGCACATATATGCAAATTCTAAAATCAACTAGATATCCACTTATCTAGACAATTATCATATATGAGCGGTCTGTTTTCTGTCGACGTAGTAACCCGTTTATACTTTACGTGAAACCATTATCAGTATATAAATAACACCAGAGGCGTAGCCGAGGGTTACAGTTTTTTCACGAGAGATGATATTTTTACTGTTACACACAAACCCATGTGTTATTTATTTTATTACCCCGAACAAATACTGTGATGATCTAAATTTGTCAACTAAATCTAACTGTAACAAAAATAAACCAAGTGTAGCAATAACTAAACTGTCCTTACCTTTTAAGTTTTAAGTGTACTTTAGGCCTACTTAAGTTTTCTTTTTCTTTTATTCTTTAAGCAAGTGATGATATCTAAAAATCATAAACATACAATAAGCTAGGTTTTATTTCGAAAACAAAACACTAACCCATTTACATGGTTATGATCTGTGAAATCTGATCCTTCTGTTTCCAGTATATTCTTAGTTTATATTCTTGGTTTTTGACAAAATGACGATGATATCATATGCCTGTCCACCATATCTGTAACGTTTCACTGATTAAAATTGTTAAATAATCCTTTGTTGCATGCTTAAATCGTCTGCATGCTCCAGTTTGACACATAATTATTTACATTGCAATTACTTCAGTTGAAAACGGATGTTCACTTTTTGACTATTCAACAAAAAGATATTTTATACAAGAAAAGCACACTAGGGTGCAAACAACTAAATTTTATGAGTGTCATATTTACTCCAGAGAAGAAATTGATGTCCTATCGGGGTTTAATGTCGAAAATAAGAATGAATCGAGAAAAAATGGCGGCCATTTTATTTCATTTTATTTAGAAAATAGACCACGTGACCAGATTTTATACTGTTAAAAAATACTGTTACCTATATAACAGTACAAAATTCTTAGTCACGTGGTACACTTACATTAACAGTAAAAATAACTCCCAGAGGTCTATGGGAAATTAGCTTTACGAAAAAAGTGAGGGGTAATAATAAAAGATCTCTTCTGTTATGGTAAGTAAACGTGACATGAGTAGGGTGGTGACAAAATTTTCTTAGTAATCCTATCAAAATCAAGTGTATTTGTTACAAATTAATACATTATTCATGCTTTCAAGATTTATAAAAAAATATTGGTCTTTTATGTCGAGGCAGTTTCTCTCCTAATTCATCTCAACATTCGTTTTACCAAAAACTACGAAAATTCTATCATCACAGTTTCCATCTTTTTACTGGAATACAAATAAGATTAAATTTCACGAAACTGAAACCCTAAAGATAGGAAGACGTTTTGTGTAAATAAATGTATTTTCGTTATCACAAATAAAAAGTATGTAACATATCGTAAATACTCTGCTCATAAGAAATCGCAGAACTTACGATTTTGTTAAAGAGCTGCATCTTAAATCTCTTGAAGAAGTACCAGTCTTTGTGTTCTCTGTCCTCGGCAAGTTCAGCATACCTTGTTTCAGCATCAAAACCAAAGCTGTCTATAGTTTCCCCATCTGGTTTAATTAGTATTGTCGTTGGCCCTAGGAAAACAAAATCGCAATATCATTCAAATGTATTATTTGGAAGTGACTGCTCACGTTTAAGTTTAAGCGATTCAAAAATGATAAGGGTCGGAGTCAAATGTTTTCGGTTATGTCTTGTAATAAATGGTTCTGTATTGTTTTGTAACGGTTTTCAATCGAAATACAATAGATATAATGTTTGTTATAAATTTAATTTGCTTTCAAGAGATATGTCCAGGCGGTTCCTCTACCAAACATTTGTGGGCATTATCGTAACTAAAATTCACCTTTTGCGTGTTTTGTTGTTCACCTTAAAGTAAAAAGATATTTATACAAATCAGATGTTTCATTTTTTACCAGAAACCATTTGGCAAACTGGTATGAATTCAAAATCGTAAATCTCCGATTGGTAAATTATTTCATTCTAATATTAACTATTTCACATTATTCTGAATGATAATCTGAGAATTTAGTAAACTGTGTATATAGCAAATATTGATTTCGTAAACTCGTTCACTGTATGAAAAATAATCGCTACTTTACATGTAACTGAAATACTATCTTTCTATTTCTTATCTCAAAGGACAAATATCGATTATACGTAAACTCAATTGTTTTTTTTTTTGTGTGTGTGTGTACCTGCGTGTGTTCTTGAAGTTTAAAGGGTAACCTCTTAGGGTAACCATTTATACAGGGGTTAACCTCCACTTGAGGTCGTATGTGATCAAATGTATATTGTTGCTCGTTCTGCCAACATGCCCTTTGGTTAGAACAATGATTTTTTGAAGTTATAAAGCTATGAGACTATATTACGAAAACGGATTGTTGTTCTACGTGTCGCGCTTGTGCGTGGAAGAGAACGACACTAGCTTTATATTGTCACATGATCATAAGAGTATGTTTATCTAAAATAAATAAATATACAATGTAAAAGAAAAACCCAAAAGTGAGAATGAATGACTAAAAATGATATCATATTTTATAAAATACTTAAATTTTACCTTTCAAAGAAACTGCTGATTGAAGTCCAGTCCATTGTTTTGCAGTAATCTTGGTTGGTTCCAGGTCAAACTCATGTTTAAATGAGAAACCCCAACTGGAGAAAGTTGTACCAAAATCAATAGCGGCTACCAAAATATGACAACTCATCACTTCTACGAATATTTTTCTTTTACATGAAACTGTGAAACAGACATTTGAGTATTAAAACGAAGTTTTGTAAATGATAGTATATAAATAATAATAATAATAATATACATGTATGTTATAAAAATTAATTATATTTAAGCATGCAATTATTTCTTTTCCCTTATCTTATATATTGAAACCATGTTTACTCTTAAGATATATATGGAAAAATATCTCATTATATTTAAAAATCTGTTTTTATAAATAACTTATAAGTACTCACTTTTTATGTTTTCCTTTAACCATTCGTAAACATCACCAGCGTAACTTCTCTATTAAATTTTACTTCCTCTTTCGCATTTGGTTATTTTCCGAAAATATAAATGAAGTTTTTTTGAACAACTTAAATCAATATGAATATAAAAGACATTTGTAAACAGATATGGGTTGTCAATAATTACCATATTTATTGTCGTTCAGGTATTAAATATTTAACTTAAGGAACATAACTTAAACAAATTAGTATTGACATAAAATCAAAATCCATTTTATTGTTATTTTCTTAAATAAATACTTGAAACTTAGTCAGTGAAAAACACACTGTTCGGTTTTAATCGGTGTTTAAAAAGCAAACGATTTAAAAAGCAAAACAATCATTGAATAAAGTATACGATTAATCAAAACATTACATGAATTCAATATGTGTAGTACAAAGAATACAACTTGGACATTTTATTACAATTTATTGAATAGAACAGAACAGAAAGTTTATTTTTACGTATACAAAGTACATTGTCAATTACATAATACATTCATTCATACATACATATATACAATCACAAAATCAATGGATAGTCTGCAAATTTCATGAAGGTGAACAGTTTAATCTATTTTGTTTCCTTCAGTATAGGATTTGACATAATCAGTTTAACATATATTACATAGTTTAATATTGAGTTACGAACATGTTGACAAAGATAGCGTGAATTTCACATACATTATTGTGTCACTTGCAATAAAGTTATCTATACATACGTAATAAACACCGATATCTAACTATATATACTATATTAGATTTCGCAAGGGAGCTAATTAATGTAGTCTTGTCCATATTGTATATTACGAGTTATATAACGTATTACATCTTTGCAGTAGTATAGCGTAATATTTCGATTTAAAACATTTTTATCCAGATACAAGTGAATTACCAACTATAGTATCACACTATACTATATTGAAAGGGAATAGTACTCCAAAACTACAGTTAACCTTAAACGAAACGAAAGGGAAGGTTAACAATTGGCTATTCCAAAAAATATTTCGATTGCAAAGTTGTAATTTAAGAAAAAGCCTTACGACTAACTTGGGTCATAAGACAAAATAATATACTTAATACAATTCTTAACTGTGCACAGGAGTAGTATTTCCATTTTTGCAAACATATCTAATAATTATAGTAGTATCGTACCGATTGTGTAACTAGCAATAAAGTTGTCTATACATACGTTAATAGACACCGAAAGCTAACTTTATATAATATGCTAGATTTCGCACGGGAGTTAATTAATGTGGTCTTGTCCATATTGTATATTTCGAGTTATAAAACGCTCATTGCACTATATTCAACAATGTTTTGGCTAATTATAAGATATTTTCAAAACTAAATGTAACTAATAATCTATTTAATTAGAACTGTACTGTTGACCAGAAACATCCATATAAAGTTTGCTATCTTTTCAACAATGTTTGGCTTAATTATAATATATTTTCATAACTAAATATAACTAATCATCTATTAAATTAGAACTGTACGGTTGACCAGAAACATCCATATAAACACTATTCGGCTTATAATAAATAACATCTTATTTACAACATCAAACTATAAACATACATATATACAAACTAGCACAGTCTGGTTGACCAAAGCAACCATATAAACACTAACAGGCATATAATAAATAGCACGTTCAATATTTCAAGACAATTTTACACTTATCCGTAATATTAATAATCGAATTTCTTATAGACATTGCGTTTTTACAGTATAACCCTAATTTATAAAGAGCAGTCTTATTTTCTGTTTGTAACAATTCTAAAAACTTATATACACTTTGTAACAATTCTAAAAACTTATATACACTTGGTTTGATATAATAATATTTTACTATACATTTTTTACGTAAATCTGAATAGATGGGCATATAATAACAAAGTGGTATTCATCTTCTAAATCTAGTGAATGACAACATTGACAATATCTTTCGTTTCTAGGTATTCTATTTCTGGCATACCTTCCAGTTTGAATTCTTAGAGCATGCGCTGAAATTCTTAATCTAGTGATGTAACATCTTGGGAATGAAAGTTCAATGCCCATCACCGGCGGCCTATATTACACAAAATAAACTATTAATTGTATCGTATTATATATATCAAACATTCCCAAAGATTACATACTTCTTTATTCTTAAAGTTATTTTATTGGCCAATTTCAATTTAATTAATTACGCAGGGTTTTTTTTTTACAAAAAAAAAACACGAAATAAACTATTAATTGTATCGTATTATATATATCAAACATTCCCAAAGATTACATACTTCTTTATTCTTAAAGTTATTTTATTGGCCAATTTCAATTTAATTAATTACGCAGGGTTTTTTTTTACAAAAAAAACCCCTAATGATATTACGGAAAGTTTCTTTAAATAAGGAAAGCAAGCTATTTTACTTGATTTTTTTTATTTTTCTACTTCTTTTGAAATTAAAAAAATAAAAAAAAAAAATTAAAATAATGATAATGGTTTCATAAAGTAAAATCTATCTTTTTTTGCAATTGTTTATATTATTTTCTTCCACGTAATTTAAGTTCAAATATCAAACTAAATGGATTAACACAAATTCTGCTGTGCTGAGAATAGTAACACATTAAACGGCATCCTTGCCTTAACACACTTCTCAGGAATGAAGAGTTTTTTTAGAATTAATTACTTTAATGGTAAAAAAATATGACAAAGCGGATCTGGCTAGTGGAAGGGAGAAGTGTTTTACAGGTGCCACCCTGTATATATTAATACCGATATGTAAATAATAAAGTATGACACCCCATAAAAGCTTTAAAAAGCAAAACACAATTGCAAATCGATAAACAACAAAAAACATCAAACAAAAGAACAAATAAAATGTGCAGAATGAAAACACTATGAAAGATTAAATATAAAGACAGCGTCAGTAACATTGACAAATAGAACGCAATCAGGCACACTCTTATGTGAAATTAGTGGGTATTAACCTTGTTTTATTTAAACTGTGTCCTCATCAAAAGTTTGAAATTTATAATTAAGTATTCTAGGCTTACAGTTTAGATAACAAACAGTATTTATCGTTGTCATTAATCTTTTGCTCTGTAAAGATTGTCTTTGACTGGGATTTTCATACTGACCATTTCAACTAAAACTGTTATTAAATGATGTCCATGCATGGATGTGTATATTCTTAACTGTTTAGTTAGATAATATTTTTTGTTAGACAATGTCTTGCCCCTTGTGGCGAAGGGGTTGCCTTTACAGTTGGAGATTTGAGGCATCCTTATTGCAGCCACCGATAAGCCATGCACATTCGTATAAAGGCGACTGTATGGGCTCAAAAAAGGTATATCCATCTCTTGGCTCCAGTAGGTGAGGTGGTTTTGACCAATGGTGTTGTAATACGTTTGTAACACCCGAGGTTAGCCAAATTCATCTTTCCTGCTTCTGTGCCATTTGACCTAAACTATGTAGGTGCGCTGTTAAACCGAACCAAACAAAAAATAAATATATACATCTAAATTGGTGATTTGATTCTGCTATGGCTTGATGACTGACAATGAAAGTTGCTTTGTTTTTTTTTAATCTAGCTTAATAGAATTTAAGACTTCTCTTTGGTCGTGTCATATACCTAAAAAGGTTTTCACTACAGTCTCAGTAGCAACCTTTCAATTTTTTGTCAACACCTTTCCATAGAAAAAGCACTTGGTAATATCATTTGTTCTCGTCTAATGACAGTATATTATAATCTATTATTCTTATATATAAATGACTATTTTGAGCATGAACATAATATTTATTTATCAAAAGCAATAAAGAATGATCCCGAAAGTCACCATGACATCGTATTCATGATCAGCCAGCTTATGATGAAATAAAATATTCTAGAGCGGTAAAAAAGTACATGTATTTTTTTTTTTAATATTTTCAAAGTATTTATCATCAAGTATATTTTTAAAGGAATTTTACATCATAATTCAAGTGCTAATTAGTCATAAAATGTCGTTCTCTTTAAACAGACAGTTTGTTTGATTCTCAAAATCAAAAATCATTAAAAAATAATGCAAATAAAGTGCATAATAGTATAACTGTATTGCAACATTTTCTTTGAAAAGAAAATCATATTGTTTATTTTTCTAGAATAATCCAAAGGCTGGCCGTTTTGTCCGGGGCTCTATGGTTGTTTGCATATGTTATTGCACAAATATGTGATCAATAGCATTAAAAACTATGTATTCTATAATGTTTGAACATCAAAGTATTATATGAGTAGTAATTTGGTATATTTGAATGCATTAACAAGATACATAACAATAAAGGAAGACAAGTGTGTTTATTCATTTTCTTTATTTGTCTAGATTTATCTCCCTTAACAAATATGGAGTATATCTTGATGTACAAAGAGTACATCTTGATAAATTGTAAAACGTTCAACTATCACCAATATTGTTCATATATGATATATGTGAATTTATCACATTTAAGTAAAATTTAGCGGTGCTCATTTACAAAAACTTCCTTTTCCCTAATGTGTAACGAGTTATTACCCTTTAAGATTTTTTCCTACCTATTTAAGGAGAAACCACTTGTCCATCACCGATTTGTGTTCGAATCTCGCAAGGGACTTTGGAATATTTTATGTCAGGAGGCAACCAGCTTGCTTACAGAGCGTCGGTGGTTCTTCTCATGTGTCATGTGTCCGTTCGTGCTTGAAATAATGCACTGAGGTGCAACCGACGTATGCAGTAAAGTCGCCATTAGATATACACAGTGGTGCGACGTAAACCCAACCAAAACAAAATGTGCGGTGCATAAATCAAAGACTTTATGACATACCAACAAAAATAAATGTGCAAGGTAGATGGATACATCAAAGTACGAATAACCTTCTGCGAATTTTGATATTACAGATACAAAATGTATAAACGCCAGTTATGCTTCATCCTTTAATGTCAACACCTCTAAATAAAACACATCTCTATCCTCACGAAAGCGGTGTGTTGGGAAATTATGCTGCGATAGTGGTAGTTCTAGAATTACTAAGTTACTAGGATTACATTTTCATATATGATTTCAGAGTAGTTCCCGACGCCTTTGACAATTATAGGCACATTATAATTCAGAAACAAAACCTTTTTTTCATTAGAAAGGGCAAACTAGAATTATGTAACATTAAAAAATGGTTTTAGAGAATATTAAATGCTTACTACCTAAAGAAGTAATGCTAAATATAATTATTTGTTATAATAGTAGCAAAATGTAAACAAAGTAGTATTTTGACTTCCATATAAAATACTAAATCAGTGCAAGTGTACTAATTGTACAAAAACAACATAAGCAAATATGGTTCAAGAAATTGGCTAGTTAGTAACTTGTTGGAAAATCAAATGGGACACCAAAATAGCAGTTTATTAAAATAATGTTTAAAATACTATGGCATTATGGGCCTTTAACTATCGCTCAAAATTATTTTTGTTATTTATGTATAGTACTTGAAATATATTCACTTTTCTGTCATATTCTTATTTTATTTTGTTAGAAACATTTTTGATATATGTGACTTGTTTTACTTTCCTTTGGCAAACACACGTTTCATAATCCTTGGTTTTCCCTTTAACTAAAGCATAGCATCGTTTCGTCCATTGTTTTATCAATTCTGGCATACATATAACAGTATTATGTCCCTTTGAGGCCATTTAAATCGCGAAAAAAATATGCGGGTCTTTTTCACAAAAATGATCTTATTGGGTATTTCAGGTATTTTCATCATTTTCTGTTAAAAAATTCCGGAAACAAAGTGATCCCTGGGAAGCATTAATCACAACAAAATAACATAAGAATTGCAGGCTCGGTTTGATTGAGTCTGTACATGAGGGATAATGAATAAGTGCAACATCCCTCACGCCCCCTAGCACCGGCTTGAGCGGTACTCAATTCTCAACACTTTATAGTGTTGGCATCAATGATCCCGAAGGACCAGTAAATATAACAACACTGAGGTGAAGTACGGGGCAACTTTTTACGGCTGCCACACGACACTTGACACCTGCTGTTGTGAAGTACAAAATTCCGGAAACAAAGTGATCCCTCGGAAGCATTAATCACAACAAAATAACATAAGAATTGCAGACTCGGTTAACCCATTACCCGAGATATACATGGGCTTAAGCAGAATTCAACGTTTAACACGAACTGGTTCGATTTGGAATTTTGAAACATCCGAAGTTGTGTTCATATGACGGTTATCATGGAACCTTCAATGTGACACGTAAGTGCCATTCCATGAAAAGCGGCATATGGTCCCCAAGTAAAAAAATGCGTGTGCCCTAAACGAGAAAACAATGGGCGGAACTAAATAAAATGGAATTTTGAAAGGAGATCTGGGGTTATGAAGCCTGCATATCACAGATAAGACGTCAAAAGGGTGATTATACAGTATTCAAGTAGGAATAGTGGAACCACCCAAGTTGAAAAAGGTCAAAATAGAAGAAACTTAAAATACCACATAACATGTATACACAACAATTATGTCGTGCTGAACGATCTCCAAGGATCGAAAATATAACATCTTTGATTAAATGTACGGGGAGACTTTTACGACCGCCACACGGCACAAATAACACTGATGTGACCATAAAATAGAGAAAAACAGAATCCCTAAAGAAAGCCCAACACGGCAAAATTAAAAATGTTAAAGACTTCTATCGTTGATAACGTTAAGCATTGATGTATCCAGTTATATCCCATTATATAGTTCAACCTTAGTTTAAACATAGAATAACCGATTGACGATGCATATTTTTGTACATATGAAAAAGAATATCTCAAATATTTGAACATTTGTTTTTATATACATGTATATCTAAGAAGTACTGACTTCTTAATATGTATTCCTTTATCAACAATATTACACCTTGAGATTTTTGCATACGTAAACGTGACAACTGCAATCTCGACAATCTCGTATGTTTACTTACTCTTTCGCATTCGGTTATTTTCCGAAATTGTAAATTCAGTTTTTTAAACAAATGGAATCAATATGAATATAAAAGACATTTGTAAACTGATATTGGTTTTCAATCAATAACATATTTATTGTCGTTCAGGTATAAGATATTTGACTTTAGGAGCATCACTTAAACAAATAAATATTTTAAAAAAACGAAGACCATTAGTTTTTTATCTAATAATTTAAACGTAATTTAAGAATTTTTAGTAATAAAAATATTACACATTTACAAAGTTCAACTTGAAACAGGTTAATGCTAAAATATGAACCTTTAATTACAGGATACCATTGTTTTATTTGATTGTTGCAATTTTTCTTATCCGACAGCGGCCAATATTACATGAATTAAACTATTGTCTTGTATTGTAAGATATGTTTCAACCATGTTCAAAGTAAACACACTTCTTTATTCTTAAAAATAAATTTTCATGATCAATATCCATTTAATTAATTACGAAGTTCTTTTACAAAATACCAATATGATATTACGGAATGTTTCTCAGTGTCAGTGTCATATTATGAAAATGTGACGTCGCCTTGAATATTTGAACATTGCTATCAAAGCATGCCACTTTATAACATGTAGACTAATTATAAACTAAAAACAGAAATATGTATAAATGTATTCATGTTTGTTAATTTTGTAACGATTTTAAATTATATTGAGAAATATAATGACTATTTCCAGATCCTTAAATAAGGATTACATTAAAGGAAAACAAGTGTGTTTATTCATTTTCTTTATTTGTCTAGATTTATCTCCCTTAAGATATAAAGAGTATATCTTGATGTACAAAGAGTACATCTTGATAAATTGTAAAACGTCTAACTATCGACAATAGTGTTCATGTATAATTTATGTGAATTTATCACATTTAAGTAAAATTCAACGGTGCTTATTTACAAAAACTTTCTTTTCCCTAATGTTTAAGGAGTTATTACCATTTAAGATTGTTTCCTACCTTTTTAAGGAGTTATTACCCTTTATGATTTTTCCTACCTATTTTATGCTCTTGGGGGAGCCAAGTGTTTCAGGTCGTCGACTTCAAACCACTTGTCCATCACCGATGTGTGTTCAAATCTCGCAAGGGACTTTGGAATATTTTATGTCAAGAAGCTATCCAAAGACTTGATTGGTAGGTAAAGTACTTACACATAACACGGGTAAACCGCTTGAATGACTTTTGGTCAGTTATGGCCTTTGAATGAAAAGGGTTTTAATAAGTATTGCTAGAACTACTCCTCCTATACCATTAATGCAATTTCAATTAAACTTTACAGGATTGATTGATAGGTAAAGTTATTATGCATTATACACAAATTGTTCGCTTGAATGATTTTCAGCTGAGTTTTTGCCCTTGAATAAAAAATGTGTTTTGCCCTGTTTATGATTTTTTTGGTCTCCTGCTACATAGTAGCTGCTACATGTTATTGGCTATCATGAGGCGACACATGTTATCACTGATGGCCCTTGCTGTGCGAATAAGTTGTTTATAATCAATAAGAACAAAATAGTTATTAAGTGATCTATGGCTACCTTATTTCTTTTTGCCAAACACATCGTAACTATTGTACTAGGTGGTAATTTATTTGCAGTAGTTTCAACAACATTTTGAACAACATTATCACTAAATCAAAAATAATTGATTAATTAATAATTATAAATTAGTGAGCTACTAAGTTTGAGGATACACAAAAGAAAACATCAAATTAACACATCCATACACAAACGCACTCACACACCCACACGTACTACTTCTGGTTGGGGCAAATCTTACTTTCTTAAATTAATTATTCGAAAGACTGCAAGTTTGATCACCAAAATGACAAAGGCCGATACAAAATCAATACTCCAAAGTATTTGGTTGATTCACATTATCATTGACTGATGGAAAAATAATTTGGATAAGAAATTATAGTACCCAATAAAATATATTGAAACATTGTTCCAGTCTTTCTTGAATTGGTCAATATGTCCACATTTAATTAGCTTTGATTCATTTACATTTAGAACAAATTAGATAATATCCAGTGTTCCAGCGAAAGATAGCATTGTTTTATGAGTCATGGGAATATGTATTTTTATATTTCCAAAACAAAACTAAATTAGATCTATTTACGATACTATTGTGTTTTTGCCATTACTGTATATAAGCAAGGTGTATTTTTTATTGAAACTGTTTATGTTTAATTTATATGTCTAAATTGTGGTTCTATTCTGTAAATTCATTCTCAACAGACATGTTCCAAAGGTAAGTATGGCAAGAATTGACATGCTCTAGATTTTTTAAAACCCTTGAAAGGGAGATCACTTAATCAGAGCAATGACATACAATTAAAATCACAGACTCGTCTTCATTGGATCAGTTAATGAGTGCTACACCTTTCAAAGCTGTCTTATATATCAGTTTTCTTTCTCCTTTGTAAAACAATGATATGCTACGTTATGTTCCGTTATCATGATTTACGTTTCTGTAGAAAGTTTACCACCCTTTAAATGGTGTAACTTGTTAACTTAATTAGTAAAACAATTTGCTCTGAATATATATAACAAAACTTACATAGTCAAAATGACTAAAAAGTAAATAAATAAATAAATGTAGCTATGATTCAATACGAACAAAACAACAATGGCATACGCATCATGCATTGACCTTTAATTGTTAAATAAAAATAGTTGACAAAAGTAAAAACATACAATACAAGGAACCTAGATACTCACATTTCACTCTTGCACTAAATTATCTTTCAACAAACTATGTCATTCATATAATGTAGGTTATTACGGCAAAATTAACAAATTAGAACAAACAAAAATCTACAGATGACTATGTTAATGAGTGTGAAAAACAAAATAATTGTTGTCAAAAGACGCATATGTTTTTTAAGAAAGAAAATTAAAATTTAAGTTTCAAAATTTCATGTACATGTAATTCTATGTTTTCAGTTTCTAGTTGCTTTAAATACATAACTGCATAATTAATCAGCGCTCTATAATAATGTAAGAATATGATAGAAACAATATTAATACTTATTTTATATCTGATAAATCTAACCAATCGACAATCTGCATTTGTACCGTCCAATATATTCCCGTATTGGATAAACACATATATTATTTTCATATTGGACGGTTGGGTACATGTGCACAAAACGATGCTGGTCTGGTTTCCGATATCAATCTTTAATAAATTCAAGACCGGGAACCCTGCTTGCATAAAGACATTTGTTATTATATGCTTACAACAGCTGGTAATATTTTTTTTCTGATTTACTGTTTTATAATTATGTTTCTGTGATACATGTTGTATTGCCAATGTGATAATTGAGATATGGGGTTTCAATTTGATATTTTTCGGATTTACTGTTATATAATATTATGATGTTTATTAAACAGATATGTATGATAAATGTTGTAACAATGTATAATTGACAATGTTAACTTTTATTTTTTTGAACTCACAGAAAATGATCAATAAGTAATGATAAATAACGTCTAAAAAGTATTCATTGTATCAGTCAAATCATAAAACTTAATAAGTATGTATAATACAAAAGCATTCATGAATTATTACATTTTCTTCTAAAAAAAATTGACAGGGGTCTTAGGGCTATTATTGATGATGGTGGTAGTGGTTGTTGTTTTAGTGGTTATATTGATGATGTTGATGATAGTGGTAATGGTTTTGTTACTGATAATGGTGGTGGAGTGGATGATTTGTTGGTGTGATGATGATGATATTTCAAATTAAACGAAATATATATAATAAAAAGGTTATTATAAATTTGAATGTACAATACGGAATATATGTGGTTCTATTCTGTAAATACATTCTCAACAGACATGTATATAGAATAATAACAAATGTTAAAGCTTCTCTGAGAAGTTCTCTCCCACATAAAAAAAATAAACTTTGCAACGGTTTGAAATTACAGCAGGATTAACATTGGACATACTTAAATTAGATGTTTTTTGTCGAAAAGACATGTATTAATGATATGTTATCATATAAATGAACGAGTCTGCGTTGATGACATTTTTTTAAAAAAACGCCCAAACTACAATGTGTGGGATAGTTGCTTTAAAGGGACGCTACTGATGTTTTGACAGGACCAGAGATAATTTTTAATTCAGATTTATGTTCCATTTGATGTAGGTCTAGACTTGTGTGCACATTTCAGATCATTCGCTCACTCTGTTCTTTTTAGAATATTTACTCATATTGTAAAATATGACCCAAAACTAAAAAGCGTTGCAAAGTGGGCTAAGAATAACACAAAATACGATTTTCACTTACTTTCAGAGTACAGTTCTTACTTATCTTCTGCATATCTATCTGTTTTAAATGTCCCAACTGATCTATGAAACAAATTCAAATTTTATGTTTTTAGGCCTTTGAACCTCAGTGGAGTTCCTTTAAATCAACAGATGAGTTAAATATTAATATTTCGTCATCAGTGTTGAAATGTTACATGATTTCAACACAATTATCAACCTAAAAATGACAGTGAAATTTTTCTTTCCGTCCCTGCTGATTTATCAATTACTTTCACCTCAAGCTCCGTACCACCGAATCGAAAACTTGCAAATACTTTACGATTGACACCACCTGTTGTATCTGGCATAGGAAGCTCAACCTCACCCAATTTTACACAGCCTGAATCAGTTACTAGTTCAGGTGAGCGATTCTTTGTACAATAAATACCAAACAATATAGACGTCTGTGTCGGATAAACTGGTAAATATGACCGTTCTTCTTGCCAATCACCTACTTTGACAACATCTCCAGCACGGACATGGACGCTAAATATATCATCGCAACGTTCTTTTCCTTCTGCAATAAAAGTTGTTGTTTCACGATGGGCGCATGAACTTTCTTTTATATGTGTGGCTGTAGTTCCGTACGTAAACCTGCATATTCTTTCCGCAATCAAAGATGGGTTGTGACCAAAAATTACCGCTCCCTTTAGAACAGCAAGTCCTGCATCAGCTGGTATTATCACATTCTTCTCACGAAAACAAGCTTTTATTCTTTCTTGAAGAATGGACGACTCGGAATAACCACCTACCATAAGTATTGTTTGGCATTCTTGCAATTGCGGTAAACGAAAGAGATCCTCTAAATGGTTGACAATGCTTTCCAACGATTCTGTGAAGAAGCCTTTCATAATATCAGGATCAAGTCTTATTTTGTCACCTGCAAGCTTTATTTGGTCCCTATAAGTTGAATATTGAACATTTTCCCGGATTGTTATGCCTGTGAGATCTTCAGTCTCGTCAATCAAAGCTACAGGCATCTTTAAGGTTATTTGTCTGTCACTTGATGCTTTTATTTCTCTCTTCTTAACTTCAAAACATCTCATTAGATCAAGGTAATCTTCCATTGCTTTATTTTTGAATGAATCCATGACGCCCTCGCCTAAAGAGGATAAAAGACCATATCTGCATTGTTTGTGAATTTAAATTTTATATCGTGTTGATGAATCCGTACAGAGCGAGTGCAATGTTTAACATCACGTTTTGAGTGTTACGTATGTACGTGTACATGGCAAATTTATCTGGTGACAAATACTTTTACTTTGATTCATTTTAAATTTAATCCAAAATAATCTGAAACTTGAAACAGTATATGTTCATAAAAAGTGTTTCACGAATGTCATTCTTACCTGTTATTTCACATATGAATTTTTCAAATGCCTGATCAACTTTTGTCCCTCCCCAGTCACCGCCAGTGGCCTGGTGAATTTCTTTGAGAATTCCGTCTGACATAACCTGATGTGCCGTGACATCAACTGTTCCACCTAATAGTAAAAGGATCATGTGTTTTATTCGCTTTTATAAAATCAGTTTTACTATGATTTTCCGTCTCTTTGGACTATTTTGTGAGATGGTTCATTATAATTATTGACTTTTAAAACAATATGAGGATAAATAATGAATACCTACTTGTAGAAATGTAAAAGAAATCCACTCTTAAAGTGAACTATTTACTGCGTGCACATGCATTGATTTGATTTTATATGATGCTATTTGTAAACAATTAAAGAGTGTACCTCCAGCGTCTAGAATGAGATATATGCTGCCAGCTGGAAGTTTTCCAAGTGAATTGTGTGATTTAGTAGCCGGGATATGTTGACAATACAAAGACGCAGATTCCGGTTCTAAGGCAATTGTTACATTTTCCGCTTTCAATCCGGCCTATTTAATGAATATTTAAAATAATATTTAGACAATTTCAATTGTTGGAAGGTTAAAATTGAAATATTTTTTGTCGAAAATATTGTAGTAGATTCCCAAATAAAATAACATAATATTTTCATGCAAATTTACAATGTTTACTATAATATACATAAAAACAAAAACAAAATCCCTAAAGAAAGCCCAACACGGCAAAATTGTAAAATGTTGCAGGTTCGGTTTGATTGAGCCTGTTCATGGACGGTAGTGGAAAGTGCAAGTTACCGTCCACGCCCCCTAGCAGCACCGGATTAAGCAGAATTCAACATTTAAACACAAAAATGGTGAATTTTGAATTTAGAAATATCCGCAGATGTGTTCATACGGCGGTTATCATGGAACCTTCAATGTGACACAGTAGTGTCATTCCATGAAAAGCGGTGTATGGTCCCCAAGTAAAAGAATGCGTTTGCCCTAAACGAGAAAACAATGGGCGGAACTAAATAAATGGAATTTTGAAAGGGGACCTGAGGTTATGAAGCCTGCATATCACAGACAAGACGTCAAAAGACAAATTTAAATTGCAGGCAACATATCCTAAGGGTAATTATACAGTATTAAAGTAGGAATACTGGAATCACCCAAGTTGAAAATAAGCCAAATACAAGAAACTAAAAATACCATCTAAAATGTATACACAACAATAATGTCGTGCTGAACGATCTTTAAGGATTCTTAAAATTCTTACCAACCTAAATAATATAGATATGACATTGAACTCACTTAGAGTTATGAATTGATATAGGATATTGTATCACCTAATTGCTTTAAATGCGTGTTAAATGTTGTAAATACATGCTATTTATTTCATTGCTTTGGAAGATTTACCTTTTTCAGAAGTTCAATTTAAATCAAGATATTTTTTAATATGAGTGTATGTATGTTTCTACTGAAAATAAACTAAAAACTTACATTTTCGGCGGCTTCTCTCATAAATTGCTTTGCAACATCATTCCAAATTGCAGGTACTGTCAGCACCCAGTGAATATCTTTCTCTTCCAAGTGTTGATCCATCAGCTGTCTTTCAGACATATCCATAAGGTCATCCTTGAGATAACGTATAGACAAACTGAAAACCGTTTTTGCTTGTAAGGGTTTTCCACTGGCATCGACTATAGTAAAACTTCCACTAAGACCCTAATAAAAACTTCAAATATTGTTATATATACAATTGTCATGTATAGGATTGGTTCATCTGTTCTGTTATCTTTTATACTCTATATACATATATATATATATTATATATATATATATATATAATATATATATATATATATATATATATATATATATATAATATATAGTATATATATATATATATCACTGTTTATGACAGTCGCACACAAAAGTTTATTTTAAACTTCATCATATGTGATAGACTGTGCAGTGTCGCTCAATTTTTGTTATCTTTTAAAAATATGAGGCAAGTGCGCCATGCTTATCACACCTCACAATTAAAGCAGGCAAAATGTTTGCCAATACTGTAATTTTTGGTCATTTCGCATATAATTGATTTTTGTCCAGATGAGTATTTTTTAACTTATGAATATATTCAAAATTTGCATAATATATGCAAACATTTATTCACTGTTTATGATCTGGACTCATTCCCTTCTGAACAAGCAGGTTTAAAGTACTAGTTAATAATAAAACACGGCAAGAATTGTCAAATGACATTATTTTTCAATAATTTGTTCAAATCTATAAAGCTTCGACTTAACACCAACAACGTTACAGATTTTAACAGTTTTTTTTTTGTGGGCGTTGTAGCCGTTTGAACTATACGCGAAACCGTTACGTAAATGATCTCTTGAACATTTGGATAATTGGCATCTGTTTTGTTAACGTGTCATGTATATTGTTAACTTGTCATGTATAGGATTGGTTCATCTGTTCTGTTATCTTTTTATACCTATATACCTATATGTTTAGTTTTTTAAGTTAACAATCTGAATCCATAGTATTTGTTACAAATTAATTCATTATTCATGCTTTCAAAAGTTCATTTAAAATTTGGTTTTATAAACCCAGGCAGTTTCTCTCCCATTTTTGTTAGCACCTAAACATTCGTATTCCAAAAACTTCAAAAATATTATTAGCATTCTTTACATCTTTCTACTGGGATAAAAATAAGATTTCATTTCACGAGACTAAAAACTAAAGATAGTAAGACTTTTGTGTAAATAATATTTTTTCGTTATAACAAATAGCAAACTAGGAAACAGATACTTATTAGTGAATAATCTGCTCATAAGTAATCCTAGAACTTACGATTTTGTCAAAGAGCTGCATCTTAAATCTCTTGAAGAAGTACCATTCTTTGTGTTCTCTATCCTCGGCAAGTTCGGCATACCTTGCCTCAGCATCAAAACCAAAGCTGTCAATAGTTTCCCCATCTGGTCTAATCAGTATTGTCGTTGGTCCTAGGAAGACAAAAATCGCAATATCATTAAAATGTATCAATTTGAAATGACTGCTAACGTTATTGTTTAAGCTATTCAAAAATAATTAGGGTCGGGGTCAAAATTTTCAGTTATGTCTTTATTTTATTCTTATAAACTATTTCGTATTATTATAAATGATTACCTGAAAATTTAATTGTTAACTGTCTATATTCCGAATCACCCACAGCAAATATTGATTACGTAAACTCATACACTCTATGTTAGTCTTATCTTGAAGCGTTTGTAAAAGATAATCGATACTTTACATATTACTAAAAAAATTATTTCCCTTTTTAATTTATTATCGATTATTCGTAAACTCAATTGATTTTTGTGCCTGCATGTGTACCTCTCAGTGTAAATATTAATACGAAGGTTAACCTCTACTTTAGGGCGTCTGTGATCAAGTGTATATTATTGCTTGTTTTGGCATCGTGCCCTTTGGTTTTGAATGATTTTTTTAATCAAGTTTTGTTACGAAGAACGGTTTGTTGTTCTAAGTGTCGCGCTAGTGCACGGAAGAAAAGGCCACTAGCTTAATATTGTCACCTGATCAGAAGAGTATATTTATCGAAAATAAATATATAACCAATGTAAAATAAAAACTCAAAAGCGAGAATGAATGGCTAAAAATTTTATTTCAATTTTTATAAGAAATACTTCCGTTAATCGTTTAACACTTCTGATTTCATAGAAAAATTCAGCTGCTCCTGAGTGCCTGCGTCATTGTTCCAATGTTTTTGCGAGATCTAGTGTGGACGCTTCGCAAGGTGCACAACTCATTGTATTAACGATGAAACTCCACTGTGGAATACGTCCTACATTTACCGAAATTCTTCGAATAGGAGGCTACCCAAAATATTGGACACCACTCATCTGCTTCAGTGGACTTTACCCATTTACATTAAAATTGGTCTTATAGAAGTTTAAAACAAGTCTGAAAGTTATGATTAATCCCGCTCAGTTAATAAATAAATTTTATTTAATAAAACTTTGTTTGTTTATCGATGATACTTGACTTACTTATGTAATATAACTTACGTATTTCGTAATTCTACTCAAAGAATGACCGTGTACAATCTAACGTATATCTTTTATACTAAAATGTATGTAATTTTACACAGATATGACTATAATAACTAAATATATATTTAAAAAAATAATCATAAGTATTTAGTCTTCTATCATTACTTTTTCTTTTTCATTAAATGAAACTATGTCTACTTTAAACATATATTATGATCATATCTGATATTTGAAAATACTTATAACGGTTAAACGTCTTTTTTGAGATATAAAAAATAATAAATACATCAAAATTTATTACATAAAATGCAGCTCGTGTTGAATCCGTATTCATGTAGATCGGTGGAACGCTAACATATGTAATCACTGGGACTCGTTGTCCTAATTAGTGCATACTTTCGGGTAGATCAATACGAAATATTGAAATGAGAATTTATTAACAGGTTGTGTAAAGACCAATATTGGCCATTCCTTTTTGGTAAAGGATAACTTAGTTTTTTATAATTTAGCATCATATATTCAACTACCTTTTCATTGTAAAAATCTAATGATGTCTTATTTAACTAATGCTATTAAGGATACTAATATTCTGCAATTGAGAACCGATATTGAACGAGTGTCAAGTGCTAGTGACAAAGGTCGTAATAAATTAAGGACAAACTAATTATGAGGTTGAAGCATATTGACATATGCACATTGATCTGCACTTAAAATTTAGATGTAGTGTAGCACCACTTCGACTAGAAATCGGGCGTTATGAAAGATTACCTGAATCTGAAAGTGTGCCTATCTTGCAAAGAGTCTGTTGAAAATGAAATGAAAAGTCAGTCATGCTAAATACAAATTTTGAATTATTTAATGATAATGATATGTTTCAATTCCGATAAGTGTTTTGTTTCTCACTCAGAAACGATACGTACATTAGCAAACAACTGCTGCGATACATTGAAACTTCGAAATAACATTCTTTATAGTAGAAATTTTAACACTATACAGATTGTAAATTTCAAGAATGTCTTTGCATATTTTAGAACTGCATACTTTATACTTTGCTCCTTTAATATTTTTATTTCTATGAGCAGATCAGATGTTTGCCAATCACGTGATTATTGTGTAATTGTCTAAAAACTGTCATAATATAATTTTGTACACCAGATTGGAGGACTTGTAATAATAAATAAAGTGATATAATATATTTTGCGAATACAACAGAAAAAGTTGTGTATACGTATTAACATTACAGAACAGTCAGACATACTATAGGAAACATATGTATAAATTGATATTGTTAACGGATAGGTAACAAAATCGAATTTGATGTCAGTGTACCAGGGATGCAGCTTGCCAAAACATAAGCCTTTGTATTCATTTTCGTATTTAAACTAAGACAATGGTTTATTTAGACATTAACTAGATTTGAATACATGTCTGCAATATAAGTTTGTTTCACAAAAATAAGGATAGTATATCTTAATCTGAAAAAAATATATTCTGTAATTTTCCGAAAATATATCTAAAACTTCTCTTCTATTGTTAAGTGTAAATTACCTTAAGTATTGATTTATTCAATAATTATGTAATGGTCAATATAAATGTTTTGTAAACCCATTATGCATTGTACATGAGTTTAACCATGACATAACACCCTAGTTACACAGAGCCATCGGTGATTGCATCGTAGTTTTTTTGATGTCACCAAACAATCTAATTTAATGGAGTGAACCAGATGACACAAAAACGCTACAAAATTTAAACACCGAGATATATCACCTATTGGGTAACATCTGTTATCCACATATTCAACTTCATATTTGAGTCGTAAAGCATCAGCAGTCCAGTCCAGTTCGTAGGGACGCGCTTAGGGATCGAGAGTCCTGGGTTCGAAACCCACCAAGGCGGCACTGTAAGTTTCCTTGCAGCAAGAAATTTTACCTGCGATTGATTCACTTCACCCAGTGTAAATGGACTGGCTACACTGCGAGGGTGTATTAACAATTCACGTTGCGCCAAAACTGTTCGGTCTTGCACTAGACGGAGTTAAAAGACCTCCCTAGCGGAGATTGATTAGAAATACTGATAGCCCGCATGACCAGGACGGCTAATCGCCTGTAAGTCGTCCGTGATAACGTGACCGTAGGCATGAAACTATTAAATGATATTACTTTATTTCATTGCGGAAAAGATAAGTTTATCGGATGAAAAATTACGATATAGGATTCTTTTAAACATGTTCATAAAAATTGCTTCGAATCGGTGAAAATATATTAAAATCAAATAAACCGACAGCAGTAACATTCGAGATACCTGCAAGCTCTTAATCACGATATCGCCGCGGGAAAAGATAACAAATATGAATTCACCGCCATATCAGTTGACGGAAAGTGTTTAAACACTGAGACTAGCTACACAAACACCTATTAATCAGTCGTTCGCCCGATTTTAGCTCCGATATTTACAAACTATAAAAAACCGATTATAACACGCCCAGTTAGGACAGAGCCAATCGATTCGATCGGTAGTTTTTAGTCAAAATTTATTGAGTGAACGTGACAACACGTTATTTAAACCAGATACCAACCTATTGGTCACCTGTCTTCCACCTATCAAACTGCTACTTGGAGAAAAATAGTTTTATCGTGGTAAAATTACAGATAGGCGATTTTTAAACATGTTTAGAATTCTCGATCGGTGAAAATATTTTTACAAACCTAACTGATAGCAACTATATCACGCGATATGCAAGTCTTAATCACCGATATCGCCGAGCGGACAATAATAACCGGCCAATATCTGACCGGAAAGTGTTTAACCACTAAATCTAATTCAACGCTTATTATCGCGTTACGCCCGATTTTAGCTCCGTATTACAAACGATTAAAAACCGATAGTATTTCAGCATTTTATTACCGATCCAACCCCGTTTGAGTTTGCTTGCTGTCACCGTGGCCCGTTTACACCAGAAAAGCCAGAATGAATCACGCAATTGAACCGATCATAACAGCTAGTTATTTGAAATTAAAAATGACCGGATTGGGGACGACCGTCTGTTGTCCACCTGCACCCCTATAATTCCACTTTTAACATCAACGATCCAAAACCCCGTTTGAGTTTCTGCTTTCTGTACACCGCATGGCCGGTTTACACAGAAACCAGAAATTAAAATTACGATGACAAACCCCGATCATAACAGCGAGTAAATTTAAATATTAATTAGAAAAAAGATATCAATTCTAGTGCATTGTTGAAATATAAGAAAAATAATGCACGGTTTAGTTCAAAATGCAGTAGTAATATAAGTCACTGAAGGCCGATAGGCATGAGGATTAATTATAACGCATTTGAACACGAAAAACACTGCAATATTATACAAATAATGCACGAAAATTAATATTATTTCCATTCTACAACGTCCCAAGAAAAAGTTATAATTTATTATTATTAAAGTTGGGACTTTATGTTTGGTAGGTTAAATTTTTTCGCAGCCTCCACGAGTTTCAAATAGAACCGTTCTTAAAAAAGCTGTTTCAGTGGGTTTGAAAAAAACTGTCGTTAAATCTACTGTGTTAGAAAACATTTTGGAATAACGAATTTTTTGAAAACGTTAGATTGTTTGTTCATTTTATTTCACTCTATATTTTTTCAAGCGAATAACAAATTATTAAAAGTTAACCCCTACCAATGTAAACCTAACCTCGTCTGCGATATAAATAACGTACTTGGCATTTGATTGCTTTGCAGCGTTGCCTGTATGCGCATTCATTGTGACGTCACGTTAAACAACACTTTGAACGTACTGTACAGGCGTTAACGACTGAATTAAAGAGATCATTGGTGTTCGGATTCATATTTCCTTAGTTGGGCCCTTTTTAATCTTCTAGATAGTTTTCAAACATAAATACGACAACAAATTGTTTTTATTTATCAGATTTAAACAAAATAGGCGCCCTCAAAGTGAAATAATACAGGGAGATCTAATAAAGAACCGCGCGGAGTGCATTAATTCATAGAATAATGCACGCTTCCGGTCCTTCTGCTGTCTATATAGGAAAAAATCCAGATAGTGTTAGAAAAAACAGATTTGGGACCGACACGCTATGTAACTGGTCGCCTTAACCGCATTGACAATTTATATTTGTAATATGGATTATATCCTCAAATATTTGAAAACAATTTCTCTCATATATATATAAATCTAGAAGATAAGTATACACTTTTATGTCATTCCTTTATCAAAAAATATTTCACCGCGAGGACTTTATACATATTAGATGCTATTGATTGAAAATGTACTTTAAATTTCTAATTATCGCAATTCGGCTTAATTTTGTCAAAATATAAAATGAAGTTTTTTTTTAACAATTGAAATCAATATGTATATGAAGAACATTTGTAAACTGATATAGGTTGACAAAAACTACCATATTGATTGTCGTTCAGGTATAAAATATTTTACGATTTAAGGAATCAATCACTATAAACAATAAATTTAAAACAACGAGAAACATTAGTTATTTTGAAACGATAATTTGGAAACTTATATTAAGGAGTGAAAAAATTGCCTGTATCCTTTGGTGCTATGTTTTTGGGCTTATTTATCGTTCGTTATCTACAAAACAAACAGTTAAAAAAGCAAAACAATCATTGAATACAGTAGAGATTTATCAAAATATTACACATTTTCAAAGAATATTAAAAACTCAACTTGAGGCGAAACTCTACAATAGTTTAATGAGTATGTTGTAATTGAGGTTGTATACCACACTTAAGTGAAATTATATATATGTATATGATTATGCTTTTAAAAAAAACCAACCTTGTCAAACATCGTCCAATGAGAATATGTAAATACTGACTGAACATATTTGTACATTTATATGTCAAATACTATGCATTACATTTCTATATTTTACCCAAAATATTGAACTCTATATCTACTAATAAAAATAATCTTCTCTACCTCCTTATTTTACATAAAATGTTAAATTCGGTAATATCTTATAATGCATTTCAGAACTTACAAAATTGATTAATCTTAATTTGACCATCATATTTATGATTTAAAACCATTAAAAATTGTGTTACAGGATCTTTAATGCTTTAATGAACCTTTTATTACAAGATACCATTGTTTTCATTTCTTTTTGTAAAGTTTCTTATCTGATAGCGGCCTTTATAACATGAATTAAACTATTGTCTCTTATGGTATGATATATTTCAAACATGCCCAAAGATTACATACTTCTTTATTCTTAAAGTTATTTTATTGGCCAATTTCCATTTAATTAATTACGCAGTTTTTTTTTTTACAAAATGCCTTTATAATATTACAGAGTCCCTCAGTGTCAATGATATTGTAAAAATATGACGTCACTTTGAACATGTTTAAATTGCTATCAAAGCGTGTCACTTTTAAAAATATAGAATAATCGTGAACAAAAAACAGAATTATGTATCAATATATACATGTTTGTTATTTTGTTGATATTACGTGTCTAAATCATATTGAGAAATATAATGAATATTTCCAGATATTTAAATAAGGAAATCAAGGTATTTTACTTGATTTTGTTTATAGTTTTTCTTCTTTTGTAACAAATAAAAGAAATATAAAACAATGATAATGGTTTCACAAAGTAAATGCATTTTTTACAATTGTTAATAATATTTTCTTCTGAGTAATTTAAGTTCAAATATCAAACTAAATAAAAAATAGATTAAATCAATTTCTGCTATGCTGAGAATGGTTACACGCGCCCCTTGCTCTAATATTAGGAGTATTTTCACTCCTTATAATTAAATATTTTTTTTACAATTAATTACTTTAAGGGTCGA